CCATCGTCGAGTGGATGAGTATCGCGGTGCCAGTCCATGTCCATCCAATGGACTGGCACCTCCCCATCGTCGATGCTCTCCTGCAATGAGCTCTTTTGATGCTTCGGGTCACGGTGCCACATCTTGTTGTGTGCATTGCAGAGGTATGAGGTACCTCATTTGCTGTCTACGAATGCGTATATCCTATTGCACGTTTATACCGTCGTAAACTACAGTGGCATACCGAACGAACAGAGAGCAGATTCGCTCAACGTTCGAGGCTCCTGTCGCTTGACTCATTGCACTTATAGGATGGTTGCTAACAGACTTTCGTCTGCGCGCACAGAGCACCGGTACCGTTGCCACCGATCCACCCATTCTTCAAAGCCATCTGACCAAGGACATGGCCTCGGACAACAACGAGGGAGTCAAGAAGATGTGCGCCGCAAAGGTGGCCAAGAACATTCTTAAGTTCAAGCGCGCACACAAGAAGTTGAAGAAGCGTCGCGAAGATCAGAGTCGCAAGAAGCTCCGCCTCTCCACTTTCAAGACTGTCGTCGGGGGCGTTGCTTGCGTCGTCGCTGGTGCTGGACTGGCCTTCGGCATTCGCAAATTCTTTGGGACCGTCACGCCTTCTACGACCGCCGCAACAACAACGATGGTCGCAGCTGCCAAAGTGACACCAAGGAAGAGCATCCGTATCCGTCTGCCACCAACCAGGACCGCTCATCCTAACCCTGCTTGGTACTAGGCCATACGTCACTGTGAGTCTTGACCTACGACTCTTACAATTCCTCGATCTCCTGATCGACTGTCTGATGCTTCTCTCCCTCTCTGCGCTGCACAGACGCTATGGCACCATCGTTGTTCGACACTTCGCTGCTCCTTTGGTACTTTGATTGACGCTCTGGTCGCCTTCCGCCCGCCTTCCGCCCTCGGCGCTTCGCTAGGTCTTGCGGCGCTCCTACCGAACCTCGACGCTTTATGTGTCTTTCCCTGCTCCCTTAAAATTTTGACCGACGTTCAGCTCGCCTTCCGCCCCCCGACGTCTTGCGGCGCCTCTATCAAACTCCGACGCCCCACTCGGTCCACGCTGCTCCCCTGAAACTTTGATCGACTTTTAGCTTGCCTTCCGGCCCCCGACGCTTCGCTCGTCTCTCGGCGCCCCCATCCAACTCCGACGCCATATTCGGTCCTCGCTGCTCCCCTGACCATTTGACCGACGCTACGCTCGCCTCTCGCCGCTACGCTCGTCTCGCGGCGCCACTGTTGAAGGTCGACGCTTCAGTCGTCCCTTGCACCTCGACGCTTCGCTCGTCTCTCGTCCACTGTTTGCGTCGTGTATAGACACCGTCAAATCACTCAACTGTAATCACATTTATCCTGGCGATCTTCGCCACGCTTTGCGTCCCCCTCGATGAAATGGTTGCCTTCTACATTGTGAGCTCTCTACGCGCATTGTGGTGCCAGATCTGACTAGTACAAACGCAAATGTGGACCGATGAGCATCGGGAGACAGAAACGATGTGTATGGTAGTACGATGCGCGACGCAGGTCTCTACCGATTTGCATTCCTTGACACACGCTGCAGGTAGAACTGGCTCAATACAATAACGAACTGGCCGCCACGACCATGCGATCACCCTCAATGAGGCATCAACGACAATCTTGAGCTTGACGAGTCACACTGACAGACGCTCATCGACGAGATAACACCTTCATGATGACGTGGACTATTCCAAGCTGGCCGTTTAGTGGTAGCAGTTGGTAGAGGGAGCGTGAAGGCGAAGTCAGCAGGTCTCGGACGGAGAGAAGGAAGGTTGAGGGAGCAGACCGGTACCCTCCATTAGCCGCCAGTTCTGCATCTGGCGCAAGCAAACAATAGTCACCCAGCTCCGTCAGACCTCTGACTCAGATCTGGCGGAGCTGAACAACTCCTCTTCGCCTCCGTCCGACCTCCATCTTCTTGTCCGCGGAGGCAAGCCTTCTCCTTTTGCCTCCGCCAGGCCTCTTTTTCCAGCCCTCTGAGCTTTTACTTCCTGTCTGGTGGAGGGACGACGCATTAGCGCAAGCACGTGGAGACACGCGCAACGCGCAAGAGGGAGAAAGCGCCTGAGGTTGATGAGGGGACTGATGGCGTCAGGTCGGCCCTTCCCGCAGTGAAACTAAGCCATGCCGGAGAGCGACATTCTCACTGAAGATGCGCATCCTGTGGCGACTGGCGCTTCCTCCCCATCGAAGCCTTCTTGCCGCCAGGTTTGTGGACGTCAACTGGAGCCTCTCCGAGTGCATGGCGTCAAACGTCTCGGTAATTTCTGAACTCGCTCTTCGCAGCAGCACCTCGTATGCCCGCAAAGACATGTACAGAGCGGCTGAAATAGGTATGGGGCAGCATAACCAGTATGGCATTCTGACCACAGACCGGAGATGGCGCTCTACTTGTAGAGCTGACGGACACCTATTCTCCGAGCGGAACGACGCTATCCTGGACGTTTGCGGACAGCGCCCATTCTTCCTCACTCGACGTGACGAGACGCTAGGTCGACCTTGCTGATGGATTCGACCCCGTGCTACAGCGGTGCGAAAGTGCAAAGGCAAGTCGATGGAGGTCGTGCCACCGCCTGTCGTGTCGGTCATGTGCCAGAGCGGCAGCTGGATCCGCTTGAGTACCACATAGGTAGAAGTAAGCACGGACAAGCTAACATTTGCCATCGAGTCTGCGCGCGAGCTCTGCCTCGCTCACTGCTCGGTGGTCAAAGCATGCTCCAAAGATTGTAACGTTGTGTTGGGAGCAGGAAAGCCGGTCATGCAAGCGCCCTTTCGCGCCCAAGTAGGCCGCAACGGCAGTGGATGGAGTGAGGGGTCGTGACGCTTCAACGCATACAGCTTACGTCGCTGTTCGCCATTTGTCTGGCAGGCGAGTGCTAATAAATGCTCTGCAGGCTGCTCCAGAGTCCGTCATCCAGGCTGCCATAGCAGGAACGAGGGGGGAGGGGCTGGGAATGAGAACAGATTTGAGCCTCGCGTCAGAGCGCCTGGTCTTTGTATGCGTGTTTCTCCAGCAACGACCCACCGGTAGGTCCAGTGAATACGACGCAGTGGAGGGAGCCTGCATTCTCAGTTGCCGTACAACCCAGCCTTTCACTCATGGCAGTCTTAATTTCGCCTTTCTGAGCGCTATGCCGCCTCGATACCGAGTGACCCCCCCTATGCGCTCACCGCAGCATCTGGTTGCCACCAAGCCCTAAGTGCGGCATGATGCTCTGAAGCCAGACGCTGGTCGAACGAGCAATTGGAGACGCTGGTGATGATGTTTGTTGGCTGGCTGGCGAGCGTCGCAGCACTGCGGTCGAATTATGAGCTTGACAGCAAGGCGAGCCTCACCAGAGCGCGAGCAACTTTATGTGTGACAAGATGAGCGCGGCCTCGCTCTGACGTCATGGTGGGAGGAGTCCAGTACAGCTCATGGCCTCAACGTGGGACAGGAGAGCGCAGAATGCTGGCGAAGGTGTGCAAGTCGTAGGCGTCTAGCGATGCAGTGTCCTGAGCTCCGGAAGGATTGCGGGACTTGTGATGCCTTGCGATGTCGCCTACACGAGAGGATGTGGGCAGCTCGAGTTGTGGGAATGGATGGACATCTGATCCAGCTGTATGCTGTGGTACCAGAGATCATGCTGTATGCTGTGGTAGGAGCGACGGAAGACAGCGAGCTTGAGAATGGAAGCTCGCCTTCCCAAAGCCAAAGATCGCGCGGTATTCGAGCTGGGTTTGGTTGAGTCTGCAGCCGCGCGGACGGCGCTCGGGCCTCCGCCCCAGCGCGCAGCGTGCAGCCTTTAATGCAGCTTCACGTGACCGAAAGCGCCCGTGCCCACGCTGCCTGGCGCAGCTTGCGTGCAGCATGACCTGCTCTTAACTCACACTTTTGACTGGGCTGCGACTCTCACATTCACGATCACCATCTGTCTTGCGCTCGTCTCTCTTCAGCATCTTGCATCCTGGCGGGCCTCAGCCTCGAGCGCCGCAGTCATTCACAATCGCTACCACCTGCCCAGCCAGTGGTGCCCAGCCTACCACTGGCTGTGATTCACGTTTCCGACCCCTCATTCCTCGGCTCCCTGGCTTTCTCCCCAAGCACCCTGGGCAGACTCCATGCGAGTGTCAACTGCGATTTCCAAGATGCGCGCTGCGACGGTCACTTGCTTGGAGTTACGCCATGAAAGCTGTCTTTGGAACATATCTCATGACAAAGCTGCATAAGAGGCATAGAGCTTCTGGCGTTGCATACCAGCTGCAAAGCGGTGCGGTCTTGTCCAGTGGCACTGCAGGGCCAAGGAGAAGAGCGATGCAAGCAGGCTAGCACTTTCCATCTACCAACAAGAAACGAACAGGAAGGCTTCTACGCTCACTCAATGCGAAAGAGGCTTGCACTAATAGGTACATGCTGACACATCATGGGAGGGCGCTTGATTGGATGGTCAAGAGCAGGGGCGCGCGGGAACGATGGGCTGGGCAGCCAAGGTAGCAAAGAGGCGGACTGCTCGACTTCTTCGCAGGGGCACGCAAGTAATGTGAGTGCTCGCCTGCGCTCTTGGGCGTCTTTCATGGGGGATGGTCGCGGGTCGAATAGAGGTAGGCAAACCTCACAGGCAGAGACCATGCCAACACGAGACTTGGCAAAAAAGTGATCTCGGTATGGACCTCCACGTGCGGTCGCAGCCTCCCTGATGTATTTAGAGCGGGGTTGTGTAGCTGACGTTTTCCCGACTACCTTTGCTCCACAGCCCTACTAATGCCGCTCATCGCCGCCGCTCGGGTCGCCGAGCTTGCGTGCAGCGCGAGGACACCTTCATGCAGCTTCACGCAGGTCCCGCATCCACTCGATAGTTCTCGTCATCCAGTGCGAAATTGACAATTGCGCTCCAGCCGACTCGAAGTTAGGTCCAAATGGCGATGCCCGCTCACCCGGAATACACCGGCTGAACACGTTCTCACCACTGGGCCAATCGACCGAAATCAGAGCCTAGGTGTTGCTTAATGCTCATAAAGGATGCCCTTCGCATCGTCACTACACTGTGCGCTGTCTTCTTCATGCTCGAGAACACCGCTCAAAGCCCATCGAAGTAAAAGCCAGTCAAGATGGACTCTGCGGTAAAGTCGAGTATGCCGCCTGCTGTTGTCATTCACGATCGATCATTATCGAGGAGCCTGGCCACGGCACCGCAGCTTGCGATTTGGACCATCATCACTCGACTCGTGCTACTCAGTGTGCACATCCTCCACTCGTGACTTACAACGACAGTAACTGCACGCCACCAAAAGATCTGGAGCGCGTACCTTATAGGTCATTCGGCAAAGATGGAGGGGGTACCAAGTCAGCACCTCGACCCTTTCCGAATGCGCCCGGCGTGTCCTCATTGATTCGTTTTGACATATGTTGACGGGGCGACACCCTGGCATGCCTTAGCTGAAGGCAAATTTCATGCCAGGGAGTGCGGCGCATACCGGCGCTGTCAGCACAACATTGCAGTCATCAAGCGCGGCAATGGGATGGGAGGGCAGGGGGCGCGCATACACGCAGACATTCACGTGTTTGTAGATCGAGCTCCTTCAAGACTGCACCTCTGTCCTACTACTACATCGCGTTTGGTCGTGCAGGGCCTGCGCAGATGCATATGGTTCGGCCGTTGCGCTCCCTTGCATACTCATTTTGACGACTTCGACTGATACAGCAGCATCGCTCTGCCCAACAAATAGAGCTTAAGCTGAGGTTTCTGCCAGCCTCTTCGACGCCAGACGCCTGATGCCTAATTGCGGGATTACGGCATGAGATAAACTTCTCTGTGTTGCGAGCGCATCTCTTCTCGCTCTCCAAATGGGTCGTACTTACCACCGCTGCCCCCCACCTCTCCGTCCACTCCTCTTCGACACCTATCTCAAAGAATTCTCGAATACAACGTCCTGAAGGCACGATGGATCAAGACAAGATACAGGACACCGTGATGTCATGGCCTTTCGACTTGAACTTCAGCGCTTCGCTGAATTCAAAATCGGAAAGCGCCTTCCTGTACATCGCAAATATCGAGTCAGCACCACAGCTCGACGAAACCTGGCCGGACGCAGCCCCTTCGCCAATCAAATCGCTCTACTTTGCAGAATTGGTGTGTAGACTCGGCGATTGTGCAGATAGGTTCTAGAGGTGCATTGATTGCTGAACTTTTGGGGTCTTGGTTGCATTGTGAACAGATCTACCGCATTTACCACACCCATGACGATGCGCCATCTCACCATTGCAGCATCCTCGACATCCAATGCAATTAATCTTGAATCACGCTTTTGCAAGCCAGCACGGCGAGGTAACTGCCTCTATGAGCCACACTTCAGCTGCCGCTGATGACATAGACCCGGCTTCTATTCAACAGCACAAAAGGTCTCGGGTTTGGGGGGAGCAGGAGGCAGCTGGCAATGACGAATCGAGCCACGAGGCAGCACGTCACGAAGAGGGACGCGCCATAGAGGGTCAGACTGAGGCGGAAGGCAATGACTACTCCGCCAGGCGCCCAAGGCGCAGTCAACGCTTGGCAGCGCGACATGCTTAGTAGACATGGCGCTCTTGGCGTTGTATCATCACGAATCCTCTCCCGACAATTCTTGCACTCAAACTCGGGTCTGGATCGCCCGGCGCATCATTTCTTGACGTCTGACATTCTTCAATCCTCAACACACCATACGCTTCGAGAGATGAGCAACCGCGTCGTTTGCCATCTTGTGCTTCGGTTCAGCAAATCATCATACTCAAGACTCGTGTATCATATTCGTGAGGCCCCTCACCAAACCATCATCCATCAAGGCGCGCGCTTTGCATCTTCCCATTTTGGCTCAGTCTTGGCGCTGTCGCATACATTATGCGATCACCGATCTTAGGTACCAATCACGATGTATTATCCACAACTAAGAAATAGAAGGATCAAAGGTCCAGAAGCTGGCCTGAAAATTTTCCATTAAAGGAGAACGCGGCGCTATGACTGATGATCCGACTTCAAGCTCGCGATCGGCCGCTCCGAGTGACTGCGCATCGAGCTACTGGCTCTTCTCTCGCGATGCAGCGCAAAGCTGCTCTTTGCTTGCTGATCAGCACAGCCATCGTCTTCTCCCCTTCAAGTCTTGTCAGCACGCCCGAGTGATGACAGGTAGCAGATGCTGACGAGCGGTTCCTGCTCGCAAACCTTGCCACCACTCGCCTAGTGCTCGTACTGGCCACCGACCTCGATCGAGCCAAACCTCCTGCATGCAGCTCGACCGTTGAGAGTCACGAGTGCATGGTGCAGAAATGGCTCGGTCGCACCCTTAGCCTGGTGTGCTGAGAAGGCTGAGGAGGGAGCGAGTGCACTCACGGCTCGATAAGTCCCGTAGGTGGGCATGGCATACAAGCTTGCACCACCGGCCGCACCGCACTGTGCAGGAGCAGGTATGGTACAGGCAGCCTTGCATGGCCACGCGACCGATCTGTTAGGAGTATCGTGCCACAAGGCACATCTGCCCCTCTCTCCCACCCACACCCATTGCGCTGAGACACACATCTTCCACCACCGGCTTTCACTAAATCACGTCTTACCATTGTGACTCATTTGAAGGGTGCACGCAACGAGTGAGTATAGCCAGCGGTTAGTGTGGGTACAGCCGGTCGCGCGCGTCTTGCGCTTCAAGTGACGCGGTGATGCACGGTACAAGACCAGCTCAACGATCACCTTGCATCCACGCTGATGCATACATCCATCCTCTGCTCATCGCACCTTTTCAGCAAGCCGCCGATTGATTCTCGACCCGCATCGTTCGCCCTCAACCTTCATTCTTTCGACTCTCGACCTTCATTCTCTCGACTCTCAACCTTCATCCTCTCGACTCTCAACCTTCATCCTCTCGACTCTCAACCTTCACTCTCTCGACTCTCAACCTTCATTCTTTCGACTCTCGTATCTTCAGGCTTCACCGCATCCTTCAGTCATCAGCTTTGGGCTTGTGCTACACTCGATCTTTGACTGCGCGCGACCCTATACCCCCAACTCCCCCACGCCCGATAGACCGATCGTCACTCCAAATAAAGGTGCGTACTGGCCGATCTCAATCGTTGTGGCACGGAAGGGAACACGAGCGAACGATATCGGGCCGTTGTTCTGGTCGAAGGAGGTAGAGGAGGGCAGTACGATAGTTTCAGTACATTAGAAGTCTACACGGGTAGATGTGGTCGGGGACGTTGGGCACTCCAGGTCTCGTCAGCAACCTTATTAGCTGGCGAGTCTGAGTGTCTCGGTTCTGCTGGCTAGGTGGGTTAAATGCTTGGCTAGTCCAGTCGGGAGCTGGTGGATGCAAAGGCTGCGCGTACCTCAGATAGACGCCGGCGTGCCCTCGCCACCCATCTTGAACGAAGCTCGCCCGTCGCGGTTGATCACGTTCACCCATCCTGAACGAAGGACGCCCGTCGCGGTTGATCCCGTTCTGCCGGGTGGGTGGATGATTGCACGCCGGCATCCAACCTTGACAACATTCACCTGTCGTCATACGTCGAGCATTGCTCGAAAGACGCCTGCGGTAGTCAACATGCCCCGACATTCACCTGTCGTATGCTATCACGTTACCTTCGGCGGATGCCCACCGAGCACCATCGCACTCGACGTTCGCCCGTCATTGTTTCATCACTGTCACATTCGGTGGGCATCCGTCGTTGACTACCCCGGCGCCTCGTCGAAGTCTATCTGTGAAGATCTCGCGCAGCCGTTCGCCATCGGTGGTTCTCATCATAGGACTCTTCGGAACATTCCATGTACCTCTAGATTGAAACCTGAGACGATACTGACATGCCACTTTGGCTGTACGCACAGAGTCCACGCGATATCGACACAAGGCGAACAGGACACGATGATCACCACCACGAGCCAAGTCATCTCGTTCATTTGCTGCGTCTTGCTGCCGTTGCCGTTGCTGGCTAAGGCGGAGATGCTGAGAGCACGGGAGACGGGCCAGGCGAACGTCACACCGACGATGTACGTGGCGCCTCCCGTCTACTACACCGTCATTGACGGCATAGGATATCGTCCGAACTAGACGATTCCTCGTGCTTGATTCATCAGCGCTTGTAAGTGGCACACGTGTGGCTTGTTTCATTCGAATGCTACATCCGCCGCATCGGTGACGTGCAAACAGCGCGCTGATGCCCTTCCACTCATTCTTAGCACAGCTCTCCTGTCCCAGTGTTGCACAGCCAAGCCTCTCTTCGCTTGGCTCGGCGATTCCGCTCCTCTCATATCTCACAACCGCGTCACCAATTGGAGCATGTCAGCTCTGGACGGACATGTACAGCTCAATAGCATTGATTGAAGGTCTTCTCAAACATATGCAGTGTGCCAGCCACATACATGTCCGATCGTGCATTCTATTGCGTGTCAGCATATGCAGTGATGCTGATGAGTGAGGAGGGTCAAAAGGTGATGGTAGTACGACGACCTGATCAGAGTTGCCTGACCCGGACCTCCCTGCTCGTGCATGTCCCTCTGTAGCCCACAGCAGTACCTTCCGTCTCTCTTCTCGTTCCTCCAAAACGTCGCGTCCACCCATCGTTGTGAAGAGGTTCAAATCCGTATGATGTTGTCGCTGTTCGAAGGTTGCTGGTGACAAGAACCAGACGCTGATGTTGGTGAGGCTGATGGAGATAAGGAGAATGCCAGTGTAGCGGAAGCGACTGACGCAGAGCAGCAGCTGTTGGAGGCAGTGATGTGGCTTCATAAGCGTGGCCTTTGTCGATGCCGATATTGTTTCTATGTTTTTGAGCAGACTTCGAGGCCATTGGGCTGATAGCTTGGTCAGTGCGAGGGACCCTGCATTGAAAGCATCGGGCAAGGATGCGCCTTTGTGACACACTTTCGATCCCATCAACGGATTGTGCGCGCGCTGCCTGCGGTTCCTGTTGAGAAGCTGGTCGGCATGTTCCCCTACCTTGGCAGCAGTGGTCCCGGAATACAAGTGTATGTTGCAGAACGTCTCACTGCTCTTTTCGACGACGGCGAATTCGCTCTCAACAGGTGAAGCCGCTTCCTATCCGGCCTTTACGAAGACAGACATTTGCTTCCCGAGGGCGGGTACTGCAGCTTAATTCCCTTCCCACCATCCTCACCACGACGCCAACGAGCTGCCCAGTATCGAGGCGTGATACGATTCTGAAACCTGTGCCAAGAGGAATCGAAGCGCACGACAGACTTGCTTTCTCTTTGTGTAGGCCTTACGCCATCAAACGTTCTGCGTGGGACTGTGAATCGCACTCAAGTGTAAGAGCGATCAGCTTCGTCAGGACAATTGCAGTGTAAGCGACTCACAGCGCGATCCAGATCATGTACGACAACCAAACTCTCCATACAGCAATGATGTGGCATTTAAAACCGCAATTTGTTCATGCTGTTACATATCTTCTGCAAAGTCCTCCCCAGGCATATACACGCTTCTGAGACGCCTTTGCTGCGGCGGAGACTGAACAAGGAGTAGAAGAGCCTCGGGCCCCGGTCGTAGCATTGCAGGCTATATGAGGACCTCCTGCTGGGATGCCTTAATGGGAATTGACCCTCCCAGCTATAGGACAGGCAGGCCCCCTTCACTTGTATACTCAACCAGCTATCGGGCTAAGTTAGCCGACTTCGCGTTGGAACGGAGCAGACACAGCTGCGCGGGCGGCGCTGAAGGGATATGAGGCTGATCTGCGGAAGACTTGTAAATGCCACTGCGAAGCACTTGTGTGAGGTCGACTACTTGTGAGCTTGGCATCATTTTCATCGAAGAGTGGTGGCTGCATAGTGGATTCAGACAGGTGAGCGAGGGTTGTGCGGCGGTTTTTCGACCCAATTAGCGCTCGCGCGTCGCAGTCGCACTGCGATGTTCGATCTGATGGCCTGCGCTGGCGCAAGCGCGCGCGCGCACGAGTGCTGATTTGCAGAGAAAGATCTCAAGCTGCATGCGAAGAGCATCGGCGCTGGACGCGACGTTCACCTCACCAAGCAGTGGCCTCGTCCTCTGATACCAGCCCCCACGCATAGCAAGTATTCAAGTATGAGAGATGATCAGTGAGTCCATCACCTTGATTCTCCGTCTGCGGAACCACTTGTCATGACATCGCAACGCTAAAATTCGCAGCGCTCTCCTCTCACATCCTCGTCTTAACCGCTTGGCTGCGCTGTCCTTCCTCACCAGGCCTTGCGTTCTGCAGGTGCGCAGAGCACATGGAGCGAGAGCCCGCGCTTGGGCCTCGAGCCTGTCATAAGCTTTCTTCCTCGGAGCCGCCCCCCGCCATCCGCCGCATCTAAGGGTTACATGCTGCGCTCGCGATTGAGTGGAAAGTTGTATTCGGGTGAGTCGAGCGTGCCTGTGGCCACTGATCGCATGCACTGACCCACCCTGGTGATGATACACAGGCATCGCAGCTTCTGGCTCAGATCCCGCTCCTGCCCGGCGGATGCTGATCTCTGCCCGTCTTCGTCCCTGATGCTTCAGCAAGGTTTCACGGAACGGAGCGAAGATAACTCAGCCTAGCATGAACGGAGCCATACTGGTACCCGCAGCACTTCTGCTCCCGTGCGATTGGAGCTGCGCATGGATGCCAATCGCAGCGCCCCTTTGCGGCATCCTTGACTCCGGCACAACACGTTCATCTGCGCAGAGCTCGGCTGCCTTTCCATGAGTGTGGTGGGAACTCACTGTATGCGCATATTCATAGCGTGGTATTAGCAGCAAAGCAGCAGGAACAAATGAGCCCTGCACATCCTTACTGGTCCGGCTAGCCCGCTGTCTGATTGCACTACCACTGCAAGTGCTGGTTCCGAATCCAGCAAATGGTCCGACTAGTAGCAGACGCAAGGGAGGAAACTCGTGCAGCAGGGTGATAGGAAGAGGCTAAGACTCGCATAGCGTGGCTGCGCGCTTCGCACTCGGACAAAAGGAGTATGTAGCACTGTTTGTCCGGTCACTGGCGTGCGGCACCCAGCTTTGCCTGCCTCATCATCTGCCTTTAGATTTGCTTCTTGGCGTGAACTACCAGCTCGGTGTCATCAAGACGCATCAGGAATTGTCAGAAAAGCTACCGTAGAGCTACCCGGAGCCATCCACCAGCTCTCCATTGCAGCATTCAGGGTCTTGCATCCGCATCAAAAGGACCAGTGACTTGCTGCCTGCCACTTTCTCCTGCCAACGAGGAGCGAGCTGTCCTTTCGCAGCTCATAGGTGAGAGCGTGAATAGCCGAGCCGAGCCGAGCCTAGCCTTGCCGAATTGCTGAATGCGCTCTTTCGTCTCTGCTCCTGCGTCCGCGCCACCCACTCGCCCGTAGCCACCTGGCAATTCAGTATCCGGGCTTTGTCTTGACGGACATCCTTTCGCAGCACATCTGCGGGGAGACAAAGCACCTGCTCCGCCTTCCGCATTGCGCTGGTTGACGCATGGATCGCTAAAGCCTACTGCTCCTGTGGCTGGTCGGATTCGAAGCACACTACGCCTGGAAAGCGCAGCGAGAACCTCCGCTTGCTGCGCGCATGCATCATGCTTTGCTTGACCCGACGCGTGAAGGGCAAGCGGACAAATGCGGTGTGGACAGTCCCATGTTCGAGCACATTCCACTCGCAGCTCGCTGTGGAGCGCAGCGCGCGGCGCTGTTCGGGCTCGCGGAGTTGACCAAAGCGCTGCCGACTCTAACACCTATCTCCTCATCCGTCTACTCTTCCACCCTCCTTCGGTGTGAAGGTGCCACGCCAAGGACTTCCGCCACTCACATGAGGCTGACCATCGTCGCGCGCTCTGCTCTTGGCGCTGGCTCCAAGATTGCTGGCAAACGCGAGAGACACAGAGGGCAGCTCTCTCCATTCGCTTCGCGAGGCTGATATGGATGTCGCAGGCCGCGATGCACTGTCATCTTCTACACAGCACAGAGCCAGCCACATTCATGTGTAGGAGCCGGATCGCGGAGGTTTAGAGGATTAGTCGGCCGCTTGCTGCGTCTTTGGCCGCCTCACCTTTTCCGAACAGAGCTCTCCTTCTACAGTGCATGTCATCAAGGCTACATTGTCATGAGCAAAACAAAAGCATACGACTTCATAGTTGAATGGAGAGACTCTCAGACCGGCAGGAAGGCCGAAGAGTGAGTAAGCTGACTGGTGTGTGAACGACTTGACGCGAGTGGTGCATGCGCGTCTGGGAGCGTGTAGGATGTCGGTGTCTTTTCCCTCCATCGGGGCGAGAAAGACCGGGGACTGACCCTGAAATCTTTCTTCTTAGCGCCAATTGCCCTCATGATCTAGTCAGTCGTCCTCGAACTCTCCAAAGAATCCCTCCAGGACCAGCCTTAGAACCGTCTCGAACAAGAACTCGAGTAGCTCCACGAAGAAGTTCTTTACCACTTGCCACGACAACGTACGCCATAGCACCTGACAGACCACTACCAAGCCAGCGCCGAAGAGAAAAGCAGTGAAGTTGTGGATGTAGGCTGATTTGGTTCTCTGTACGTGAACAATGTTCGTGAGCTATGAGCCGTTCCGAACTCCTGCACAGGATGCTGTCCCCAGATCCCGCTTCCTGCTAGAGGTCCCCCCCCCCTCTCCTCCCCTTTCTCTCTCTCTCTCTCTCGCGCGCGCGCTTCTGCAACATTCTGCTTCTCTTTGCCCCCACATGTTTCTCGATTTGCACGCACCTTGCTGGCTTGCAACCGATATAGGCGAATCGTCATGGTCGGATAGTCGAGCTTTCCTTTTTCATTCTGCTCGATGACGTCAATGATGCTGACTTTCGCGCCCTGAGCCTCAAGCAGCTTGAGAGTGTGCTCGAACTGAGGACGGATAGGAAGAGCCGAGTCAGCGGAGGCAATGATTGCTGAGTATAAGCACAGAGAACACCACACTCACAATCTCCTTGTTCTTGGCAAGCTGATCGACAAATGTAGCTTGGAGCTCTTTGGAGCTGGCGCGAGTAAACTTGAGGGCATCGTGGGCGCGCTTCTGGAGTGCTCTGGAGTTCGTACGGTCATTGATTGCTTCGCGTAGAACCACAAAGTGCAGATTGTTCATGACGGGATGCTCTAGATTGGCCTGCGCATCCGCTGCCTCAAAGGCAGTGTCTTCGGCATCCAGGACCCAAGGATTTTCGTAGCTGACCATCGCGCGTAGCGTGACCTTCAATTCGTCGTCCAGACAAAGTTGGAGGACAAGAGTCGATGATTTGCCTTGATTGTCTGAGAGCAAAGAGGAAAGAGATGCGACCACGACCAGTCTATACGAGAGCGGCGAAATCGAAGAATGTACAAGCGACACGGACCGCCGTCCAGGCGGGCGTCGAGGGTGTGATGGAAGTGGATGATCGCTTCTTAGGAGCATTCGTCATCGAATATTGGAGAGTGCGCTATTCGATGCCCCGCGTCTCTATGGGTCGAGCCTCCCAAGACTTCGGCGCGGGTTCTGCCGCGCTTAGGCCACCCAGCACTTGCACGACATCAACACTCACACTCGCGCGTTCTGGATTTCGTAATTCAACATCCACGTGTCTCGCTGCCAAGCAGCGAAGGTCAAATCGGCTCATTGCCAATATTGAACTCGATTCACGATTGCGAGATACTTGGGACTCGATCATCGATGGTGGACTCACTTCCAAGATCACTAACTCCCAATCGCAATTCGAATCACAATGCGTATCGCAATTCTGTCGGGATGATCTAGATACATGCTTATCGACGAGGACGAAAGTACCAGTGGCTGAATTAAGAGAGGCGAAGGGGGTAGCGGCCTGCTTATCGACGAGAACGAAAGTACCACTGGCTGACTTGGGAGAGGCGAAGGGGTAAGCGGATGATGAGCGATGTCGCTATGAACTGGTAAAAGCACCGGCATTTCACTCACAATCAACATAGCCCAACCCGGACAGCGCTAGAGGCCCTGAGGTTCCTGAGGCTCCTGAGCTCCAGCAGCTGCAATGGCCGCTACCTTCAGTTGCTTTGCAGCTGTCGCGCAGCTGGCCTTGAATGCTTTGTGCCACACTTCCCTGAAGACCCTGTCTGCACTTGGAAGTTTTCTTTCTGCTACCAAGGATTTGAAGGTGATGCTTGCTGCACCGCCTAGACCAGCCCAGAAAGCAGCTTCGCCAACCTTGTTCAAGTTTCCGCGCCTTGCAAGAGCCCTCCATCCTGTTGCTGCCCTTTGTTGAGCGTTGGTGATGTTGAGCATTTTATTGTATTGGGCGCAAATACGTCTTAGGTTGGTGCAAGCCCAGGCATCGCCAACAGGGCCGGCAGCGTTCACGGTGATGCGCGACATCTGGAGGTGGGAAGAGGCGACAAGATTCAGCTCTCGGCATACAGTTGATGATGACGTCACCATCGCATAGCTCACCTCAATCGCGGTGATCAGCTGTACGTTCGAATCATGAGACTCTCGCAAGTCGCCAACAAAACTCTCGACAAAGTATATGCCTTCCTCGCGGCGAAGGCGCAGCAGTCGTGCATGCTGAAGTGCGCAAAGGGTCAGCATATGCAACCAGAGTCCTTTCTGCCGCGTGTATGGATGACCATGGGTCCATTCAAGTTCACTCACCAGTCGACGAGGCGCTTCAGTTGCCAAAGCTCGATAGAGCTGTTGAATTTTTGGACTGACGGGCGCCTGACGAGCTCGCAGCGCTGGAGCGTCCATGTTTCCGTCACTTAAGGTATCGATGAGTAAAGCGATTGAGATGTCGTGGAAGGGGGCAAGTTGTGGAGCAGAGATGAGTGTCCATAGTGGTCGTGAGTGGTGACCGTGAAGCGTTGATGAGTGTCGGTGAGAGTAGGCCTTTGACCATACAAGGGAGATCTGACTTTGCCTACCATATGTTCGAAGCAAAAGCTGACCAGGTAGGCGGCCAGCCGCCCTGGCCTGCGAGGTGCATAGCAGCTCGCGACGTCTGAATGGTGCTATAGTCCACTTGGTCTTGAAGCGATGGAGCACTGATGCTCACAAGCGGGGTGCTAGTCATGCCCACGCCTTTGCTCGCCATGATCGATGCAGAGGAACCGGTGAGGGCGCACTGCAGCTCGGACTGCCAGGGGCTATGCATCTTCCAGTTGACGTCCCATAGCTGCAGTAGTGCGCGCACGCAAGGCCAAGCGTAACGATGCGATGAGACGACCGGACACCTGTTCGAAGAGCTGCTCTGCTCTGCAGGCCCTGCCCTGCCCTGCCTGACTGACGACTCTTTGAACGCAAAAATCGTTAATGCTGATATTATGGCAGGTTTTGAACGTCTTGATGGAGGCACTAGAGTCAACAGTCAAGAGTGCATACAGGCAGCGCTGTACCCGAGCTTTGACGAGAATCGTGAGTTGCGCACACCCCGAGCGCTGCTGAACGTAGGCTGCACGTGCCACCATGCCTCGCGCCTCTGCCGTCGAGACCTGTGTCGTCCCGCTGTGCACGCCCTTCGTGATTTCAAGGCTTCTCTTTTCTTCCGTGGTCTCTCGTGGATCCTCGCGGACCCAAGTGTAAGCTTGACTCGCATTCACCTGACTTTTGATTTTTGATCGTCAATTTGCTCCACCAGCCCTGTGTAAGTACTCTTGACTCGCGGCAGATCTACGGGGCAGCGAGCTGAGCAGCGAGCCTAGCATGTAGTGCGGTTCGTACAAAGGTGCAACGCCAAGTCAAACGCTCGCGCGTGTGCACGCGCACCTCAGAAATCGTCATCTCCATGAGCAGAGGTCGGAGCACACATCAATCACGAATGCACACAGGTGAAAGTCCATGCAAAATCATCGTGGTTAAATTAGTGAAGGCAAACAATTGCCCACCCTTTCAGCTCAGAGGCCGCTTCTGTTCTGGCATCGATAAATCAAGTTCAACAGTATCGTCTGCTTGAGCGCACGATACAATTGGTCACACACAGTGGGGACATCGTTGAATATTGCACTCGGTGAGCTGCGCACTACGGAATAAGAACGCCGTCTTCAAGGGTTCCCCTACCAGCCCGAAAAGTCACCAAAGCCACCGTCAGAAGCCGTCGCTTTCTTCTTTCGCTTCGCAAAAGATTCCCCGATCGGTTCGCCCTGCTGGTCTACTCCATCCTTCTGTACGCTCGTCGTGGCCTTCATGTATCTGCCAACGCCAGATGCCGTACCCATCGCTCCCAGCTCCGATTCCTCCCCGAGAGCGCTTCGCTGCCTCTTCTCCCCAAGGTTGGTGCCCAGCCTACGCGACACCACATGGAGGTGAAGACTCGTCAGAACTTTGCAGACACATCATCGCAACAACAGCCACTGACCAGGTGGTCCGATCTTCCTCTCTCCGCTTCCTCTTCTCTTCCCGCTTCGCGACTTCTTCCACACTGTCTCTACTCTGCTGCCTAGCGAGCTCTGCTTTGTAAGCCTCGAAAGGATCGTCGAGACATCTGATCTCGAAGATTCGCACTGTCAATGCCAGTGACTAGGCTCGCGTCAGCCTTGTACGAGCACGCTAGCTACAGCGACCACTATTGTGAGGATGCGCACCACTCCTGAGCGGCCGATCTGTGCCCTTCTCGGTAGGCACGCGCTCGATGTTGTCCAATGTAGGTTCGCCTGGAAGCATCTTTCCAAAAACGGTATGTTTGTGGTCGAGGCTTGAGCTAACGAGCACGATGGTCAGTCACCTAGTGCACACGCGCTGCCACCGACAAACGGATCGAGAACTCACATCTGGTCCCGGAAGGTGAAGAAGAACTCTGCAAAAGGTGTTGTGTCAGATCTGCTTGTTTCGAGAGCGCTCCACACCTCTCTACTCACGACTACCATTCGTCGCGGGACCCTTGTTTGCCATGCTCAGCGAGCCTCGGGAATCATGCCTGAGCGCGCCGGGCAAATCCAGTTCGTCTCTGAAAGGTTGGTCCCACATGCTAGCACCGCCTCTACCAGTTCCAGTCGGATCGCCGCCTTGTACCATGAATCCTGTAGCGGTTTATCGGTTCAGCTAACGGTGCGAAGGAGGTTCCCGTCCTTGACTGACCTGGTATTAGACGATGGAAGACCGTATCGTCATAGTATCCCCTTTTCACCAGCGTCAGGAAGTTGTAACACTGTGCGGCCAGGGGAGTTCAAGCAACAAAGCATGAGACAATTCCCCAGTATCTGCTTGCAGACGACCGGGAACCCACCGTTTTTGGTGCCTTATCGCAGTAGAGCTCCACATTGATGGGGCCAAAGTTCGTAGTGACCTGGCAAGGACAGCAGGTTGCCGACGGGGCGGAGAGTGTCAGCTCGCTTCCCTTCACGCAGAGCGGAAGCTTCGGTCATCTGGGATGAGCAGATCAAGGAACGATTACTCCTGTTTTCGTACTATCTTACATCATCCCACTGCCTTCGAGTCCTGCTCTACTGTTCCGGTCCATGCTGACGCCATTTGCGCTATCTCTACTCACCCGAACAAAAGCCCTCGGACTGGCCTTCTTCTTCCCCTTGTTCCAAGCCGCTCCAAGCCCTTCTCCAGCAGCCACTTTTTCCAGCATAAATTCTTCCTCATTGATAGTTTGCCTCTCGCTTTTGGTCACTGGCGTCAGGCCGCTTGACGTAAAGCTGGCTGCAGTCATGCCCGTGGATGCCGAAGTAGCGTTGTAGGGCACCGCTTTTTTTGCTGTTCCTATGTTCGCAAGTGCCGGCGGTGCGGGTGCCGCAATGTTGGAGGCGGAGGAACTAGGCTGTGATGCTCGAACACGATCCAGCAGCTTCGACGCTCCACCTGCTGCACTGGTGTTGATCTCTTGCAAGGAATCGCTGGCCTGAGGTACCACGTGCCCGTGCTTCACATGATGCATCTCCGACAGACTTCTCTTGTGAGGCTTTGAAGCCCCAGAACTCGACGCCTCACCCATACCATGCGGGTCCTGCAGCGTTATTAGATCTGACTTCTTGAATGGCTCATCTGAAATCAGGTCGACCATATGTCTGGCTTTGATGTTGAGCGAGTGGACAGTGTCCCAGGAGAAGACGTTGCCTGTCGTGCTAACAGCCACGAGGTGTGTATGCTCGTTGAACTCCTGTCACGAGAGCCGACAACGCGAGGCAGGAAGGGCAAATGGTCAGCATTGCTTGGAAGCGGAGCGCAGTATTCCCTCTCGCATCGTAAGTGGGTGTGATCGTGATTGTGCCTGGCTGCGATTACCTTCCAGCCTTTGCGCAAACTGGATGTATGCGCTCGGTGCTGCCATAAATAAGCTCTACTCCGCTTCCTAGCCTCACAGCTGCTCTTCATGATGATGCCACCCGCTGCTGCCGCTGCGCCCTCTTAACAATGCCCCATGCATTCCACGCAGCCTCACCTTGAAAGACACAGGATCATGGTATTTGCCGTTCTCGTTCTTGTGAAAATTGAGCTTGACTAGATCCTTGATCTGCATTGCTTGCCCAGTAGCAGGATTTGTGCCGTACTTGTTGAGGTACGGTATGACGTGAGTCAACTCGAAGATGGTTCCCTGGAATGTAGACGCAGCTTCTAAGTCAGCCAGCATCCGGCGCTGGGGTTTCCTAGCCACGCCCACCCACTAACCTCTTCCCTTGTGCACACAGGATTGGTCCATGGAGCCAGCGTGAGAGCGCAGCAATCAAAGGGTAGCGCTTGCATGCCATCATGGGCGGATGAGAGAGCAGCCTTGTTGCCTACGCTCCCTGCGGAATGCTGCCCAAAGAAACCCGAGTGCTCGCCATGGGTGATGTACAGCTTGTCCGTCTTCTTGCCCATCTTTTCAATCTGTAGGGTAAAGGTGAGATTCGCAGTGCAGTAGGTGAGGTAGCTAGACGAGAGCCGGGCGTACCATAAGCCAGGGCGTCCTGGAGCACTCAGGTGGAGGTGAGAAATGCAGTGTGATGCGAATGTGGTTGTGTGCCGGACGCTCGGTCCTCGCAAAAGGTTGCTATTGAGGCTATGGTCTCTAGCTAGGGCAGGACTGCGATCTATGGTTGGCTGTGGGAAGTAACCGAGATGGAGAGGGAAAGGCGTGCAAGTGAATGGGTGCGAGCGGTATGGATCGAGATGGTGATAGAAGATGGTGTGGCATCCATTCAAGATTCTTGATTTCAAAAGTCATGACGGGTCCACCGAATATCTGGACACGTGACCCCTTTCCGGGTCGCGCTGCGCTACGATGTCAGAAGAAATCGCGATCGAGGGCTGCATGCGTCCAGCAAGCGTGCGGCCTCTGTCGGCACGGCGCAGCACAGCTATGTATAAGATCTTCGCTGCAGCTGCTGCAGCCCTTGCGTTTACAACTCCGCGGCGTGGCTAGGTCGTGTGGCGACGCTTCTCCTAACCATCATCATCTTCGCAGCTCGCCCTCTCGGTAGGTGCGATACTCAAGCCTTATTTAAGTTTTCTTGCACATTTGTCTCTGTGACTCTCCTTCTCTCGCTGCGCTCCCCAAGATCCACTCTTCTGCAGGGCACATCATCATCGGTTCTGCTCCCCCGCGCACTTCTGAAACTGGGGTGTGGCCAGCCATCCGAACGCCCTGAGAGCCTTGCATCTCAATTCTGCGTCGACTTTCGCTATCACATACTCAAATCTGGTCTTCATCGGCTTGGAGTCTTTCAGAATCCTACTTGGTCTCTGCCGCATCTTTGGCGCGCTCAGTTCTGACGCCTGCCCTCCTCACGTCATTCCGATCTTTGACGTCACCTTCACAATCCGTCTGCAGCACGAGCGCCCTCGTATACAGCCTCATCTTGTCATCTTTACAAGTCATCGACAGCACTAGCGGCCGGATCATGTCTCTCGCTCCGCCATCTAGCGTCGCCGCAGCCTCTACCTCCCACTCCTCGGCACCCTCACTGCGTCATCAAGTATCTGCATCCCGAATATCTGTCCCCATCAACCGATCGAGCTCGTCCGCCGGCCGAGCTTTGCCGCCACAGTCCTTCGGAGCTGCCTCATACTCAAGCACCCAAACTTCATCATTGTCAAGCTCATCATCCACGGGAGACCGTCCGCGTAGGCATCGCCAACGACGATTGGCGGGCGAGACCAATGGCGCAGCTTCTGAAGATGATAATCAAAGCGCCTCCACTGGTTCCGGCACATCAGCGGATAGCTCCAGCGTCGGAAGTCGATCGGATGGCGAGTCGGGCTCAGAGAGAGCTGGTCGTGCTATCAGACGATTGCGGGAAGACTCCGAGTCGGAAGAGGAGCCAGAGACGGCAGAAAGAGTGGTGAGCACCTCGTCAGAGTTCGCTTCCAGCTCTGTCGTCGATGCGCAGGAGCGGCGGATACCCACAGGACCGCGCGCATCCCACACCCTTAGCAAGGATGCTAGCTCCGCTCCGTCCCCCTCTCGCGCCGCACCCAAAACGAAACCCCCTCCGCGGACTCCTCGAGCTGGACCTCATTGGAATCATGACGATCGCGGGTCGATGTATGCGGGAGGCGAGGCGAGAGGGGGCAGGGGCAGAGGAAGAGGCGGACGTGGTGTGAGAGAAAGCTTGGCAAGAGGAGGTTCTACTCGATACGCACCAGACCATAGCTCTAATGCCACTCACCCACGGGAGATCCTGCAGGCACCGCAACGTGGCTCCCAATTTCCCAGGAGAGGCAGAGGTACAGGTGGCACGACGAATGGGACAAGTCCTCTGCACCGCGCTCAGTCTCAGCCTCAGCGTCGAGGTCTACTTGGCTGGAGCGAGTCGGAGCATTCGGCTTCGGATTCTGACGAAGGCGCAAGAGTAGATGAGGATGCTCTTCGCGGTCGAGCAGTGCGGAACATTCCAAGCGCGGCGAAGCCTTTGCCCACGTCAAATCCCTCCCTCGCCAGATCACCTGCCGTGCAGGAACATTCGGATGGTCCAGCTGCGAAGGCTGAGGGGAGCTGGATTGGGAAGACTCCTCCAACTGCGCCTAGAGCGATGCGAGCTGCTGCGCCTTCGCCAGCGCCTCCCGCCTCCAACCTCGGCTCATTTCCTGGCGGAACAAGCTCAGAAGTGACGCCCTCAATCAGCACCGCTCCTCCGTCGGACGCGCTCGCTACCCTGAGTCTAGCAGCTCCATCATCATTGACAGGAGTGCCAAAAGGACCCAGCGGCAAGTGGGTGCATGATGGTTATGAATCTTTGTGGGGGCGAGATCGAGAGCATACAGGCCACTCACATCGAGGGAGAGGTAAAGGCACGCGCCGAGGTGCGACACAAGGAAGATTCAGTGGTCGACCGCAAGCCATACCGCGGGTCAACCTGCCACCTGGCTCAGACACGCAACACCAGAGTGAACAGCAGGACCTGCTCGACAAAAGTCAGCCGAGCAGCCTTGTCAATGGCTCTCCACTTGCTTCTGCTGTCGCACAGCTTCCGCCCGGCTTCGTCGTGGATGCTGCAGGCACCGTCTACGACCTCAACCAGACACCCCCGATGTCCGTTGGAACTTTGCCGGAGTTGAGCGCAAATCGTTCAGACACATCTGCTCAACATGGGACAGGCCGCGCTCGCATTCAAGGGACTGGCGCTTCACCATCAGCTGCTGTTCGTTCCCGGCACGAGCGGTCTAGCAGCGCGGCGATCTTCGCTAATGCTGCCAGAAGCGCCACTTTTAGCCCATCGATACACAAGTTGTCGAATGCTGCGGCCGTCGCTCAGCCTGCAACTCCTCAGCCGCCAGCTACGAACGGTGCTTATCGTCAGCATGTATCTCACCCTCGATCTACCGCTTCTTTGTTCCAAAATTTGCACGGAGTAGAAGTCAGTCCAGGTCCATCTTCGCCCTACATCTATAGCCCGGCGCACGAGTCAGAGCTCTACAATCCATCCTACGACGTGGGCAGCGTATCGCACTTCGTGCCTTCGGATGGCGCGCACTACTATCTCCCACCGGCATATCCCCAGCATGGTGCAACGCATTACTTTCAGCAAGCGTACGGTGCATCTCCTGCTGTCTGGACCGCTGATGAGTATTGACAGACAGGCAACGAGGCTCAATAGCGGTCACGGGCCTTGCGATCCGACCTTAGTACAATGAAAGCTGTGGCCTCGGTGCATACTCACGAAGCTACGACGATGGACGAGCCAGTGCTCACGTGTCAAGCCATGATATCGGCACCAAACAGCCTATCCCTTTGTGTCTGACTCTGCTCCCCGATCCCGCCCGCTCACTGGCATACAATGAACTCAAGTAGTGCCGATTGACGACACCGAAGACCTCTCTACGCGCACCACCTCCTGCTCACCAAGAATGTAATGGCATACGCTTTCCTACTACCTCTGCCTGTGCGCCGGTGCACAAGTCCGGAGATGTCACGCTAGATACTGATAGCACTGACGGCCCGAAGCCTAGCAGGTTGAAGTCACGAAGTTGATCAATTTGGCGTACAGCGAGCGAGGGCGGGCGAGCTCAGGAAGACTGCTACAAGACCATTCGGAGAGACCTGTGGCGAAAGCAAAAGCGAAATGATGGCGGGATACGTCCGAATGGAAACTGGACGTGCGAGGCGGACGGTCAATGATCAGCTTGGGCCGCCGAGTCGCAAGAAAGGAATCGAGCACGCATCATGCTCACGCGTTTGCTCATTGCGGATCCTCCGCTGTCGCGATTGATCATATCGTGAAGGTCGGGACACCGCCCTAGAGCTCAGAAGTGCTCGCTTCTCTTGCCTCCCTCTGATTGGTCGCCTGAAGAACCTCAGTCGTCCTATTCACTTTGACGGCTCTAGCATGGCGTGGTGTGATAAGGAGGAGGGGGGAAAGTTGATTTCTCTCGTCAGCATCAGATCGAGAGTATGGCAGGCTGACAAGCAGCGATGCGCTGCTTGCGTCTCACTCATCCAGGACGAGTAAAGCTTGTGTGCGCGCGCATACACACCCCCACCAACCAAAATCGCAAACCACGTCCCCGACGTCCACTCCCGCGCATTCTCGCGCGGAGCATGGCTGCTTACCGAGAACCTTCTCCAACAAGCAAGTCTGTTGGTATAGTCAAGACATGAGGTGAGATAGCACGCATACGATTGCTCGTTGCGAGACTAGTGTTTGATCAGAAGGAGTACCGAAATTCACGTTTGCTTTGTATGATCACAAGACCCTGCCGAGCCAGGCGATTCATGTGCGAGAGGTACAGTATCATAGCTATGCAAAGAAGGAGCGAGAGGGCCTACGTGACGGCGGCAGGTTTGAGACAACGTCAGCACGTCGTCTCTCTACGAGCTTTTGACTGCTGGTCGTACCTGAGTGGCGAAACCCCAGCTTAGTCCCAGCAAAAACTTGGGACGATCTTGAGTTCGAAACACCAAGGTAGCCACGATACCCGCTAAAGCAGAGCCCAGCGTGAGACTGTCCAGAGCGGAAACACGAGAAAGAGCTCAGTATGCTTGCCATGCATCGACTGGTAGGCTGCGCTCGGTTTCGAAAAGCACTCACCATCCAGCGCTAACGCTCTTCACCTTGATATCTGCAAAATTGGCGGCCTGTCGGTTGAGGGAGAATACGGCATCAGGCGTCAGACCTGGTCCAGGCGGATGATTGAGAAGGCGACGAGAGGGCTCACTTGTAATGGAGGTACATTAGCGACACTGATCGCTGCACCAATGTCGACCAGAAAAGCGCCTCCAAATCGGACCTTTGACACTTCAAAGAGAAGCAAGCCAAGGCCAATGCTCGTGATCTGCCGTAACGTGGCTGGCATATCTAAGCTCCGAAGCTCGCAGAGGCTCGGAAACAATAATGCGGAGTCACTCACCACATTGCCTGTCATGACAGCGGCCAGCCTTGCTCGGTATCGATCGGCGATGACAGCTGACGCAAGGCCCACGGCAAGGCCAGACAACTTCACAGGAGCGGACATGATCAGAGCTGCGTCTCCCGAGAATCCTACATCCACCAGAATGATCGGCAAAAAGTAGGCGAGAAGAATGGCAGGAAATAGAGCAGTGCAAAAAAGAGCAGTGCTCGCAAAGAGGAGGCGCTGCTCCCGCATGATGGTGAGCACTTCGCCGGCACCCAGGTGCACACCACGTTGATGTCGAGTAGCGACTTCAACGTCTTTGCTCTTTGCTTCTGCACACGGAACTTGAGTGAGACTATGCGTCTTGCCAGCGAGCATGTCTCTCTCGCGCTCGGTGAGCCAGGGAGCCGTCTCAACGTCGCCGACAAAAAGCAGGACGGGAACGGCTACGATGACGGTGAGGACACTGGGAATACGCGCATCTCCCTGTCAGTCTCGAAAGGCTGTACTGGCCAGCCGCGCGAAGAACTCTCACCCCGCCCAGATGAATATCCAACTCCACCTGTGAGTGGGTCCCCAGGTTGGAGTGCGGGAAAACGCTTCATTGAGAAGGCTAGACGGACCGAGCGAGTGGACGACCCGTCAGTCTTATTCGAAGCAGAGCGGGCAAAGTATCGTCTTCGACCTACGGAGAGAAAGCAGACATGACGTGCTGCACCGAAGATAGACCATGAGCTCGATTCTGCAGATCAGATGCAAATTTGCGGCTAGAAATGTCTACAACAGCCGCCATACTCACGCCAGATAGCGAAAATACTGCGAAGCGCCTGCAGAATGGTAGAGGTGAGGGGTCAGTGTCAAGCAAGAGCTCGAGCGAGCGAGTGGGGGACCTTGACGCACTTGCCGAGCTCGCGATTTGCATACGTCATGAAAAGCAAACAATGGGAGCGCTGCAAAAAACATGCTTCCAAAGCGCCAAGGACAATTCTACAGGCCAGTAGCTGAGACCAGTGATTGACAAACCCAGCAGCGATGCAGACGCCTCCCCAAACGAGCACGCATGTGGACAGCCACCATCGAGCTGAGTATCGCTGACAGAAGACGACAATCGCTGGCAAGAAGCACATGTGCTGCAGGCATTGGGAATCATGAGACGGCGTCGAGCGCTGAGCCCATGATGCCGGGCGGCTGTCCCATCATCCAGGGTGTTCGACCTCTAAAACTCACAGAGATGTACAAGCTACAGCTGATGATGTTGTAACGGCTGTCGCGGGAGAGTTCCAAGTCGTCTGCAAGGCCTATCACGAAAGCTGCGCTCAAGTTGCTTCGATCCAACAAGGCAACGGCAAAGGCAATAGCTAGGGGAAGAAGGTGACAATCTATCTTACGCATCATTCGAAGATAAGCATGACGCTCGTTCTTTTCTTCTGCTCTTGTCTCGTACATGCCGGGCGCGAAATAGCCGCTCATCGTATTTGGCTGCATGTTCCTGTCTGGCGTGCCCCAATCGCGTGGAGTAGCAGGCTCCGGAGACCTTGCTGCAGCGTGCACGTCCCCCATCGCATCTCCTTGGCGGATCTTCTCGAGCGGATCTTGAGTGTGCTGCTCCTCGACGGACGCGCTTGGGTTGCGATCGGCGACGAAATGCTTCGGAACGCTCGGAAGAGACATCTTGGCAAAGAGCGGGATGACATAGAGGTCCGCAGTCGAGCTGGAGGTCTTGTACCAGATGAACCCTGGCTGTCGACTCTCAGTACAAGAACGTCTCCCAAGGGGCTGCTTTGATGTATCCCAGCCTTGATAGCGTTGATATGTGAAGCAGCAGTCGTGGCTTTAATGCGAGTGCAAGGGACGGTCGTTTCGCCCCGGATCCAACGATGCGAGGTCACCAAAACCTCGCTCACAATCCTCCTCCGCGAACGATCTCCTCGGGTTTCGCACACATTCAGCTGTTGGGGCCAAGGGTATCTCGCGCAAATCCAGATTCATTCCCGCCATCTTCGCGTCTGCCGCGTTCAACGAGAGGGTCTACGGCGGCGACGCCCCATTTGTTGCATTTCATCTTCTCCTTTCATGAATCCTTCTGCTGGCAGTGACAGGTAAAAAAAGCCCAAAAGCCGCAGGCCTTGAGCTTAATTTGGGCGGACGAAGCGAGATGAGCTTGAGGTATTATGTGCCCTTGGGGCTTCATTTGGTGCATGACCTCGGGGTCAGCAATGTAAACCGTGCGAGTACTGCACGCCTCTGTCTTGACGAGTGACGTGAGTTGAGCCCCATTCAAGAGTGCGAGTGAGCGCAAGCCACTCGCATGATTCGTGTTTGCGAGATGTATGCGCTGTCGGCCGTCCGAGTGGGTCTGGCGCTGCGGATGCGGGCCAAAGACATGCGCGTTGAAGCCATCACAGCCTATCCATCTGTCTTTCGGCGCCCGTCATCTTGCTCTCCACCTGATCCACTTCCTCTCCTAGTCCGCGCAGCATATCCGTTTGTTCTTGCAGCTCTTGATTGATAGCCAAGCCTATTTGCCTCTGTCTGCGGAGCACCGCCGCCAAGTCTCCCAAGCGAGCATCCTGCGAGTCCATCTGTCCTTGCTGCAGCTTGACCAGTCCTTCGTCATCTAGAGCCCGTGTCTGATGAGTCTCGACTGGCGGGGGCGGGGCACCCAACGTCCTGCTGGTCGCGCCTTGATGCGGCCGATTGGGGGCTTGCCCAGCATACGACCCTGGCACATAAGGCTGCCTCGGTGCTGTGATGCGTTGCGACCCTGGTTTCCCGGAGCCCGAGGCATCTTGGCTGGGTAAAGCGGGTGTTGCTACAGACAGGGCCTTTTTGTCGCTAGGCGCCAATTCGATAAATGTGGCAAACTCCGGTGCTTGTCTCCACCTCGAGTCGGCACAGCTGAGGATTGCTCTCATGTACCGTTCCAAGCCGGCCCGCCTCTCTCTCGTCTCTTCATCTTCTGCTGGCTTGTTCGTGCGTGCCACGGCTGCTTCGCGGCTCAAGAGACCGCCTAAGGAACCGATGGCACGGATGGTGTTTCTAGCCGCATGCTTGGGTGGGAAAGCAGCAGGCGGATTACCCAAGCTACTCAGCGTGGTATGAAGCGCTAAGAATTCGCTGTAACGACGCCAGACTGTCCAGCTGCGGACTGGCAGAGCCACGCGCAGAGCGTAGACAGTATGCTTAGGTGATGGACTTGTACGAGTCTCTGACGAGGGCAAGGTGATGGACTGAATTGGGGCCGTCATCTTTTTGCACGATGATGTCTCAAGACGGGCCGGCGCGTCGCTAGGTCGAGTCCGGGTGCAAGGCAGGCAAAGCTGGCGGAGGGGTCAATGGAGGCTGAGACCGCACTAAATTGGTCACTTGTGGCTGCCGATGTCCAGCCATCCGCACATCTGTGATGGTTGCGGAAGCTGCAGACAGCGTGTGTAAATGGCGTCGAGAGACGCACCATCGGCGGCAGGGGCCGGTGAGGCGGTGTGCATGCATGGCGAGAGGGCCGATACAGCCAGGATCACGTGATGCGATCGCAAGCAAGGAACGGAACATCGCTCGAGCCCGCGATGATGGATGCGCGCGAATATTCCGCGCGGCCGGCCCGAATTTTGGTCAACGTAGAGAAATGCTCACACTCTCTCACACTGCCGAAGTGCCTGTGCAGCGAGCTTCAGATCTTCTTCCCCGTGACGCTAACCAAGCTCGCGTGCACGAGCACATCCATGCAGCAGCACAGAGCAGCCAATTTTGGCAGGTGTGTTCCGCGCTGCAGCGCACATCATGCAGCAGCAGAGAGCGGAGCATAGCAGAGCACAGCAAGCAGGTCATATTGAAAGGTTGCAAATCGGACGATCTCGCTCGTCGTTCCATCAAAAGCGGGCTCGACACACTTGACTTCACACCCAAGGGCCACTCGAATTCTCTCGTTCTCAACCACCATCGCACCCGTCCTCCCGGCGACGATCACATCTTCAGAGCTCTGTTCACCCGCTCACCACTACCCGATACCTGCAACCATGGCTCCTACCGCTACCAACGTCCGCAATCTGGACGGCATCAAGAACTACACCGCTTTCTGGCAGAAGGACTCCAAGACGGACAGCAAGACGGACCAGGACAATCGCCTCAGCGAGTACACCAGCGTCGTCAACGGTGAGTATCTCGGCAAGTCCATCTTCGAGCTGTCCGATGTCTTTCAGGGGAGCAAGTGCAGTGCTGCAGGGCGGGTGGGCCACCGCAGTGGCTATTGTTGGCCAAAGCGCAACAGGTACCCCTTGTATGCGCTCAACTCTCGTGTCGAAGTCTCAGGCTGCTCGCTAAGCTACATCGACGCCGCATACAGCGTCGCCATCATGCCTCCTTTTCACTTTGCTAGAGCGTCCAGACCGCAACATCCACTGACAGAAGCTCTGCGCCCTCTTATCAGGCTATTACGATGGTGCCACTGACCTGTACGAGTACGGCTGGGGTCAAAACTTCCACTTCGCCCGCTACTACCCTGGGGAAGCGTTCTATCAAGCTATCGCACGACACGAACACTACCTAGCCTTTGCAATGCACCTCAAACCCGGTATGCGAGTCCTGGATGTAGGCTGTGGTGTTGGAGGACCTGCGAGGGAGATTGCTCGCTTTGCCGGAGTCGAGATTGTTGGCCTCAACAACAACGACTACCAGATCGAGCGCGCCAACAGGTATACCAAAAAGGCTGGTCTGGAGAAGCAAGTGTCGTGTGAGTTTGCAAGGTGGTGCTGGAGGCGCTGGTGCTGTCCTAAAGAGAGAGAGCACTGATTCGGTAGACATCATTTACAGTCACTAAGGGCGACTTCATGAAGCTAAGAGAGCAATTCGGTGAGAACAGCTTCGACGCTGTGTATGCCATCGAGGCAACTTGCCACGCCCCGTCCTGGGAAGGTATCTATGGCGAGATTTTCCGGGTCCTCAAGCCAGGTGGATACGTAAGTCAAGCAAGTGAGCGATTTGTCTGAGCAGGCCATGTCGCTCATCAAATACTCTCCTTTTCCCTTTCCACCCCCACCCTTCAGTTCGGCCTGTATGAGTGGTGCATGACCGACGCGTGGGACGCTTCTAACCCCGAGCACAAGCGTATCGCACACGGTATCGAGGTTGGAGATGGAATTCCAGAGATGAGACCAATCAAGGCGGCTCGATCAGCTCTCAAGCAGGTCGGCTTCCAGATCGAGACGGACGTCGACTTGGCAGATGTCGGAGACAAGATCCCTTGGTACTACCCCTTGGAAGGCGACATTCGCAAGGTGCAGACTCTGTGGGACATCTTCATGTGCTGGCGGTGAGTGGCTAGGTGTGGGGTCGTGGGGCAGAATTGCGAAAGAAGCTTGGTGCTCACAGCTCCACCCTATACCTGCACACAGTATGACTTGGGTCGGCAAAGTCACTACGCAGACCACTGTTCGCGTGCTGGAGACTGTCGGCATCGCACCTAAGGGTACCTACGACGTCGGAGAGTCTCTCAAGGTGGCTGCTGAGGCGCTCGTAGCGGGAGGCAAAGCCAAGCTCTTCACCCCCATGATGCTCTTTGTCTCTCAAAAGCCTCAAGCTTGAGGTGATGCCAAGCTGCCGGGGTGGAGGACAGATCATTGTACATACTTCGCGAATCAATGACACTTTCTTTTGCACTTTGAAAGCTCTCGAGGTCGCGTGCCCAGACACGCAAGGGGCTGCACACGCTCCATTTTGCGGACTGTGCTCTTGTGTCTTGGCTAAAGCACTAGTCCGCTCCACCATACACCGACAAGAGCGCGTCTCCAACGCCCGAGCTGGTTGCGAGGACGCCGACGTCGGAGAAGAGGGCAGCGAGGAGATGTGGCGGTGTGTAGTCCACCTGGCGTGAAAGCGTAGTGTTAGGATCGATGAGGAGCTGGCACACACGAATCTTTGAGGCCGCTTTTGAGCTCACCAAGGGATTCAGATCCTCCATGGCTTGTGTCATGCGGTGCTCCGAGGCACCGCCACCTATCCTTCCGCTCGCCGAGCCCTTCGCGTCTGATGGTGCCTCGGGCGGAGTCAATGGCAGAATGTGCCGTCTCGATGTCGGCACATCGTGCTGAGAAAGGGGAAAAACTCGCAAGAACTTGAAGCTGCAAGAGCGCGCGAGCGACCGGGCTTCAGCGGCTCGAGGTGTGTCTGAGCGAGCTTGAGCACGAGCAACTCACCTCTCCGCAGCCGCGTAACAGGGTCTATCGCTGGCCTTTGCAATCAGTGCCAATTGCAATGTTCCGACCGCATTGAGCAGTCCTCCACTCTCGCAGACGCCCTCGGCGCCGACCAGTACGAGATCCACCTTTGACATGATGTATGCAGCGGCGGAGTCACACACCACCGTGCAAGGGATGCCGGCCGCTTGAAGCTCGTTGTAAGTCTTGATACCCAAGCCCATAGGTCGGGCTTCTGTGACGTAAACGCTTGGACGTCGGCCAGCTTCGGCAGCTGCTAGGAGGATGTGCATCACTACCCGCGAGTAAGAGTGAGTGAGGATCACCTGTGAGTGCGAGCCATAGGTCGTTTGTCTTGTTCAGTAGCAGCACAACGCATAGAGCAGAGGTGAAGACGAGACTAAGTGCTTACCGCGTCGTCCTTGATGAATGACATAGCCCTCTTTGCAATGACGTCTCTACACAAGGGCACAGTCTTGCCCGCATATTCCCTGGCAACGGCAATCAGGTCCCTCTTCATCTCTTCGAATTCTCGATCTCCCCAAGCCATAGCGCCCACCAATCTGGCAAACAGATCCAGGCCAGCCGTCGCAGGAACAGGATTAGACAGAGCATCCTTGAGCTCTTCGGAAGCCTTCTTGAGCAGTGTGGTGAGCTCCGTGGTCGTCTGAACGGATGTCATAGATATCAGGTCGCAAAGGCTGAGCATGGCGGCGATGGGCATGGGCATGTCGGCGGAGGATGCGAGATGCGCTTGATATGAAGAATGCACATCGAAAGACGCCGTCTTGACGCTCGATCCAGATCGGCCTGTTTCCTTCGACTCAGCATCATGGAGAGGTGCGAGAGCCATGATGACGATTGCTGAGCAGAAGAGGAGCTAGATGCTCACCCTCGGGCTGCGTACTCGAAACGGGAACGCTACAGAGTCAGCTGGTGCTGCTGGCTACGCGAGGCGTACGGTCTTGAAGTAGTTTTTGCTGCTATTCTGGCTGCAGCTTGTGGCGCAATCGACGATGTGTTAGCAGCTTCAGACGAGGTTGCTTGCAAGGGAAGCACGTTGGAGGAGATGATACCGCACTTCGTCCTGAGGTCGGAGCGGATGCGGGCGCAACAAGGGTGCGCGCTTTTGAGTCGATCAAGTCGGCCAACACGTCGTTTGCATGGGTGTGCTCCTTGAATATGATGACTTGCTACGATGTGGTGAAGGTGGGTGAACAGTTTGCCTTGCTTTGGAAGCGCTGATTCCTTGAGCACTTCAGGGCGGCGTGTGCAGATATGAGGGTCAGTCTTGACTGGTTTGTGCTGTTACAGGCCGTGGTGCATGGTGGGACGCAGAACCCTCCTCGAATCACGGCACGTGATCGGCGGTGCGATGAGCGCGCATCACGTGGCGGAGATCCGAGGCCATATCACACGTCTATACCGAATCGTGTCGTCCGCATACCTCTCGTTCGCAAGGCTGCTCGCATCTTTGGCCCTCCATCCTTGCCGGCATCCCAGAGTACTCATCGTCGCTCGCAGAAGTCTCTGAATCGTCACAGAGACAATCGCCTTCAACGGCCGCCGAAGCGCGCTGTAGGATCATTCTCTTTGCCCCGCACGAGGGCACAACCTGCCTCTGAGTCACTCGCGCTGCGCTCGTCTTTGCACACCGGTGGTCTCCTCTCTTCCACTCTTGCTAGGCAAAAGCTTCGCCAGAAACGTGCAGAACCCCGTAGACAGTAAGGAATCGTGCATACAAAGCATGTCAGCGATTCAAAGAGGCAGGCCAAGCGGCTCAAGCAGCGACTCTCGAATGCTCAACATCCTTGGAACTTCCCAAGCCACACGCCAGGAAGGGTCAGACGACGCATCAGAGGAAGGCGCAATCACGCCTCCTTCCCACGGCCGCCCAACTTCCTTCAATGTCAGAGGAAGCGCCAATGGGGCTTCTTGGCAAGCATCTGACCTGCAGCGGTCGCAGCAGCGATCACAGTTGGGTGCGGCAAGGCTGTCGGAGGAAGATGAGCATTCCGCGCCTGCACCGGAGCATCGCTCGAGCAGACCTTATCTGCCACGGACACCAATGAGACCAGCGGGGAGTCATGAGCAGCAACAAGGACCAGAAAAGCTTGATGGATCCAGATCAGCAGGTGATCGAAGTCCAAAGGCTACTGACTCTTCCTTTCACAGGAGTGCAAGGCGTCCCCGCAACGAGTCTCCCAAGGAGGCATTGCACGACGAGGCTCGCACTTACGCGGATAATCATGCTCCTGAATCTCGTCGCGATTCTTGGGAGTATGATCGCAGCTCTAAGCGAATGCGTAGAGAAGCCTCGCGGTCTCCTTCGGCGCATAGCCACCACTCGAGGGGGGATCCGAGGCGAGCGGACCATCAATTCAAGTCGGAAAAGCATCGCACCGATCGCTGGACACCAGAGCGAGAACGCTACGGAAACCATCGTGATGAACGAAGCTCGCGCCGTCGGGTAGAGGAGAACGGCCGATCGGATCATGACAGACATCGAGATCGCTACGACGCAGGTCTTGGCAGAGATAGTCGCATACAAGAACTAGAAGGAGGGTATGATCGTGAGAGGAGGCGACATGAAGACGACAGAGATGCGGATCGTGTCTTGGATCGCCACATTTCGAGGCACAGTCGTGACAATTACGACCGAGAATGGCATCGCCGTGAGAGGGAACGTGAAAGGGAACGCGAGTACCCGGACCATCATCGAGAGCGCAGCGATCGACGCCGAGGCATTGTTCACCCGGAAGAAGGTCGACTCACACGAAACGAGAGGAGCTTGCAGTCCGAGCGAAATGCTCATGCGCGCAGGTCGAGGTCACCCCACTATCAAGACGAGGATCTCAACTTGCGCCGACGTCGCAGACCGAGCTCTCCTTCCTATCGGGATGATGATGCCTACACTTTCAGACGTCAAGAGCAGAGGCATGGCACTCCTCATCGCGTAGATCGCTCGAATCGAAGTTACTACGACGAATATAGGGGGCAGGGAGAGGACGTGGCCTGGGGAGCTCGTAGAGTGGATCGCGAGGTTGCGGAGAGCGATTCATCGCGGCAACGTGCTGAGCGGCGCCACGACTCACCAGAGAGAACTCTTTCTCGCAAAGCGTCGTCCATCTCTTTGAAAGCGAAAGCCAGCTTGCAAGACTTTTCTGCTTCGTCTAACAAGACGCACAACAAAAATCATCTCCCTAGCTCGGGGGATCCCGATCTGCAACAGGAGCCAGACGAACCCGCACCACCTGCAACGCCACCTCCGCCCTCCGAGCAGCCACCTCCGCCTGAGCTACTGCCCTCCCCACCGGCGCCTCTAGCGCTAGTCGATGAAGATGGCGACGTTAGGATGCGGGATGCGAGCGCTGTCCCTTCTACTTTGACGGGCGCTCGCAGTGTCGGTGCCCGGACAAGTGGATGGCGAACAGGCGCACACACGTCCAGAACCAACGCTAGCAGCATTGACTCTTTCAGCCCTGCTTTGTTCAACGGAGACGCCCCCAATCGGCATCCAAAGGACGATGATGTCGATCGTGGGCCGCCTACAGTCAGCGAGCGAGTCCGACGCCGCAACAGAGCTCAACCGGTCCCTTTGGAGCACCGCATTTTCAAGGGTTGTAGCCCCGTTGACATGTACGACGTGGGTCAAAAACTTGGTCAAGGGACGTTTGGGTGAGTGACAGCATGGGGACCCGCATTCTAGCCATGTTCAATCTCCCTTGCTCACGATCGAATTCACTCGATGCAGAGTCGTCGAGCGCGCGAAGCATAAGGTGACAGGCAACGATGTCGCCATGAAGCGTGTGACCATACACGATGAGAAGGACGGCGTGAGTCGGAGCGATGCTCGTGGTGCAATCGATAGACGCTCACCTGCTACCTACACCGTCTTTGCAGTTTCCTTTGACGGCTATACGCGAGATCAAATTGCTCAAACGCCTGTCTCATCCTGCCATTGTGCCAGTCATAGATATGGCATACAGACGCTTCTCTGACCGCCGACCAAGGGAAATCTACATGATCGAACCCTACATGGACCATGACTTGAATGGCATGCTGGAGAACCCTTCCATCAGCTTCACGCCAAGTCAGATGAAGCTGTACATGAAGCAGCTTCTCGAGGGAACGCTCTACATGCATCAGGTAAGTCCTCTCGCATTTGCATAGTGTGACGATGGGCGGATGAGCTCATGTCGGGCTTGCGTGCCTCTCAGAATAAGATCTTGCACCGAGATATGAAGGCTGCAAATCTCCTGATAAACAACGAGGGCCAGCTGCAGATCGCAGACTTTGGGCTTGCCCGGCCTTTCAGAGATCCGGGACATGCTTGGAAGCGGGACGGGTGGAAGGGTGGTGATGCTGCTCAGGCGTACACGGAGATGGTGGTCACGCGGTGGTATCGGCCGCCGGAACTGTTGGCTGGCGAGCGAAAGTATGGCCCACCCATCGATATGTGGGGTCTGGGGTAAGTCGCAAAGAGGCTCAGCACATCATTGCGCGCTTCTTCTGATCAGATGCACGCTCGCCCTGCCAGATGTATCCTCGCCGAAATGGTCATCAAGGGACCCCTGTTCAAAGGCACTTCAGAGATCAATCAGCTCGAGCTCATAGCACAGCTGTGTGGCTCCCCAAACGAGAAGAACTACCCCGGCTGGAATAGCCTGCCTGGTGTCAGGAATGCAAGAGCTGATGGCCGACCTTCGTCCGATGAGGAGCCAGGCCGCCATGACTTTGGTAATCACCCTCGCCGGGTGATTGAGCACTTCACGAAGGGACCGGTCAACGTGTGAGTTGAGGACTCCCTCAGTTGGAGGTGGCAGGGGAAGGACTGACGTTGGGAAGTTGATATTTGTCAGACGACAAGAGCTAGCAGACCTTATCGACAAACTCTTAGTGCTGGATCCAAGGAAGCGTATGACGGCAGAAGAAGCCCTGCAACACGAATGGTTCTGGCAAACTCCTTACCCTGCGCTGCCGACTTCGTGAGTCTTCTTGAGCATCAGGCCCGGCTGTGTCGAGTGGTGCTGACCCGAGACCTTGTCCGTCGCTGTCGCAGCCTGCCACGCTATGAGGCTTCCAAGGAGATAGACAGGCAGCAATTGCGTGAGGGTCGGAAGAGAACGCACGCTCCGCCTGCCCGTCCACCCCAACCGCCTGTCGCCATGCTACAACCAATGCAGGCCGGCATGCCTCGCATGGCTAATGGCGCCCCCACAAGCATGGCTTTTGCCGATCCCGTATCTATGCATCCGCTCAACAATCCATCTCGAGCATCAGGCATCTCCCACGGCCAGGGAATGGGGCCGGCAAACACGAGTCAATGGGGTCACCCACATCCCGTGCAGCAGCAGGTACCCCCGCCTCGAGCGGGAGCGGGAGCGTTCATGGGTTTGGCGAATGGAGGCGGCCAAATGCATCATGCGGGCCCAAACGCCGGGCCGAGTCAAGTCGGCTACCCGCAGTCTCGTGGGCCTCCACCTGGGTCGCAGACCTTTTCACAATCTGGACTTCCGCCCCGCCCAAGCTTTGTCCCAGACTCTACGCAGATGCATCAGCAGCACAGACCTGGTCCGCATCCTTCCCGTGGATATCCTCTTCCTAACTCGGGTCCTGGAAATGGTCAGCTCCCACCTTACCAGCCACCTCCACTCGGTCGCCAGCGTCCTCAGGCATACGACTACGACTACTGATCCTAGGTCTTGCATCGTGGAGTGCCGAATTCGCGAGATCCTTCGATGCACAACCTAAATTGGGACCCCAGACGATCCAAAGATCGTCGCTTGTATCATACTTCCCGCCGCATCGCACCTCGTGCCAATGTGCTGTCAAGTCATGTCATACTTATATATTAAAGCGGCCGCGGATGGGTCGAGTGAAGGATGGACGGCGCGCGGTGGCGTCATATTCTTCGTGAGTAAATCTGCACGCTTTTGGGGACACAAGCTTTGTCAACGACGAGCATGGTCTGTTTCTGAGCACCAGATAAGCGGCGCTTGAAATGTCGAAAGTAGACGGATTTTAGAAGAGAGCTAGGCAGAAGAGCAGCATTGGGCAGCGTCGAAAACGGCGTAGAAGCTGGCACACCAATCGCGAAGAAGTGTATCAGGCGCCCTTTCCGAGGGTGGCCAGCACGTCATCGTTGAATCCGCCTTGAGCCTGTGTAGGGTTCAGCAAGATATCGTTGGGTCCTTTGCCATCGCCGTTGACGCCATTAGGGGCCAGGGGCAACAGTCCGTGCTGCGGGGCTTTCTGCCGGCGGGTTTGAACACCCTTCCTCAGCCTGTTCAGAGCATCTACAGTGGTGTCCCAGTTGATGCATGCGTCCGTCACACTCTGCCCGTACTTTAGCGTGGCGGGCCCAGTAGCTGGGATTGATTGCTTGCCTGGGCGCACGAAGAGATGGCACCGGTCTCAGCAAGGCCAGCACGAGTCAGGATGGCGCACTGTTACCGTCCACCTACTCACCCTCTACGTGGTTGCTCTCGAGCATCGTACCAACGATGGCCCAGCTCTTTTCCGTTCCGTCCGACAGCTGCTGCACAAGGCTGTCAACCACCTTGATCTGGTTCTCGTGCTTCTTCTCGCTGTTGCCATGAGAGCAGTCGATCATGATTCTATCGGGCAGCTTGGCATCCTTCAGCTTCTGGGTCGTAGTGGCGACGTGCTCGGGCGAGTAGTTTGGACCGCTGTTGGCTCCTCGAAGAATGACGTGGCATGAGTCGTTTCCTTCCGTTTCCACAATGGCGGACAAACCTTGCTTGGTCACCGACAAGAAGCAATGCGGAGACGAGCTGCTCTTGATAGCATCTACCGCTACTGACAATGAGCCGTCAGTGCCGTTCTTGAAGCCGATGGGCATGGACAGACCCGATGCGAGTTCTCTGTGTACCTGGGACTCGGTCGCTATGGAACGACGACGCGAACGTCAGCGGCACAGCTCACATCACACGCCGCACAAGAGACACTCACTTCGCGCACTGCCAAAATTCAGGGCAGAGAAAGGTGCGGCAGGGTCAGCAATGCCTGAAGGGGTTCGCTTGTCTGCACGGTTTTCACAGCACCTCGTCCTGCCGGCGAGAAGTCGCCTTCATCATCGCCTACCGAGCGCCAGTCTCCGCCCCCGCACTCACCCGATCGCCCCCCAAGAAACCAAGTCTGCTGTGTATTGAGGGCTAATGGTATCCAAAAACTCGGTTCCTGCCGGCAAGCCCATGTTGGCAACCTCAAGCAGCAATCCACGGGCCAGTCTCAGTCCCTTGTTGATTTGGTAGCTTCCATCCAGATTGGGATCGTTGATCAAGCCCTTCCATCCCACAGTAGTGCGTGGCTTCTCGAAGTAGACCCTGAGAGCGGATGCACAAGTCACATGCTTTAGATGAAGGGAAGTACACGTGTTGGGATGCGTGTGTGCGACATGCTGGACACTCACCGCATCACAATGTGAAGGTCCTCCCTGGCTTCGTCCGCGTAGGCCTTCAGCTTCTTGGCTGTAGGATGAATGCGGGTGAATGTGCGCCTCAGACATTGCGCAAGTCGTTCCTCCATCGCTGTGACTTTAGCTGACGAGCCTTTCCCTTGCATCTCCTCCTTCGTGCACGCGCAACTCACCGTACTCGATACCAGCCCTAACGTCGTGCACAGAGCAAGGGCCGACGATGACGAGCAGCCTATCATCTTCTCCCTTGACGATAGCGTCTGCGTGCTTGCGTCCCAAGATGACAGTCTGAGCACCAGTGATGGAGAGCGGGTACTCTTCCACAAGAATCTGAGGAGGGAGCACTTCAAGGAGTGGGAGCGAGCAAGAGAGAGAGAGAGACAAGGTGTGTGAGCCGCCAAGTCTGCTCATGATGAGAGCCATCTTTGACGAGTACACACACTCCTTCCGCCCACCAATATCTGCGCATCGTTGTGACTCACAAGGCTTGATGCGCTTGATGCGCCTGTCGTCGAGCTCGTTCAGAGCATCCTTGATGGCTACGTGAGCCTGAGGTGTGTTGGCCATGCTGAAATCTCTATCGCGCGGAGAGAGCGAGCAAGGGGATGGGGGGTGCAGTGACGCGAAGGAAGAATTGGTGCGGTAGGTTAAACAGAGACCAATGTGTCCCTGAAAGGAGCTCTTCTCAATGTGCAAGTGCTACATGAATACCGGTGCTGGATGAAGAAGGCGAAGCTTCTCACGATTCACGGCTCCTGTTGGAGCACCCCATCGCGCGCGCATGCATGCGCGGCAGCACCCGAAGTCGTGAGTAAAGGGCACGCTTCGGTCAAAAGTTCTTCTTGCAGCTATGTGCACGCGTGCGTCCGCATCATCTAGCTGCGTGGAGGGCCCCCGTCAATCTATTCTGTTGTGTGATTATAGCTTGAACTTGATGAATCGTGAATTCCACGACGGCCGAACGCAGACGCGGGGCTCGCACGTGACTCAGATCAGCCCACCTGATTGTTGATTCAAGATTGCTGTAACACGCCAGCGTCCGCGCATTTCAAAGCTCGATCCTCATGACTCAAAATATCGACGTATCGACCAGATAACATGGCATGCTTGCGCTCGGTCCATCTGATGGATGCTCTGCCTCAACGAAGCCATCAACACAAGTCGTGAGTGCGTCGACGATGTGCCCGCCGCCCCAGCTTGTTCGGATTTGAAGGGGACGAGTGTGCGCAGCAACGGACATCCTGCCGAGCTGATGACGGCTTCTACGTACCACATATATACCTGTTTGTACGTCCGCACAAGTCTCTCTTTGTCTACGAACTATCAGAGTGACGCAGTCTTTGAGGCGCTTTGGCCGGTAGGAAGACACGAGCTATGCCTTGCGAAGCATTGCAGAGTATCCACGTTTACAAATGCGTCAACACAAAACCTCAGCAATGCCGCAAGACACCTGGGAGTTTCAGACTGCGTGCCTCTCAGCAAGTATCCGTGCTTCTGTGTGCCATCATCGTTTCCGTGCATGTCTGATCGTGTACGCCCGTATCGTGGTGGGGCAGTAAGGATGTATCAGGCCTGCCTGCTGGTGCTCTGGCCGACGCGTTCCGGTCTGCATTCGGCTTTGGTGGCGGTGCCTTTCAGCGCAGGAGCTTGTGCAAATCACTTGGGGACCGCATACTGTTGTGTCCACCTCCTGCTCTCCTCGATCGCCCTGTCGAAGGATCAAGAAGTGTGTCGCATGAGACGTGTCAGAACGCATTCACGCGTTGGCTCGCATGGAACGGCACTCACGCTTTCTCGTCAGTCTTGTAGTGCTCGGCAACATCGTTGGCGAGAGGATCATCGGGATTGGGAGCAGACAAGAGGGCTTGGATGGATAGCAGAACGGTTCGGATCTGCAGAGCTGGCGACCATTTATCTGACGCGAAGGAAAGTCGTCAAAGATACCAGTGGGGTCGAGTCAGTCATCTTACTCAGAGACCTACGCTACCCTTCGCTGTGCGAGTCTGGGAGACGCAACGGAGGGCGCGCGCATGCTCACCCTTGAGAATGTCCAGACAAATTCGTCCCAATCGATCTATTGAAGGCCAGTCGCAGGAGTTGAAAGACGGGCAAGCGTATCAGCGGCCGCGAGCGCAAGTGCGAATGAGGTGATCCCAGTGCACTGCTGGGGAACCCGAAGTCACTGACCGATGTTGGGATGATAGATTTTGGTCAAAAATCTGACTTTGGGTGGCGCCATGGGATACTCTTCCGGCAAGAAGAGCTCAAGCTTGAATTTGCCGCCTTTATTTCGCGCGAGAGGGAGACTTGAGTTAGCACCAGTCCAGTCAGATTGGCACAACGGAGGTGCGGCATCGTTTCGCTCGCGCTGGATGCGCCGATCAGCTGTGCAACGGGCTTTGGGCTTGACACACAGAGATGAGACAGCCCTGTCTCTGTCGAAGACGACTTTTCTGAGGTGCAAAAGATCGCTACGAGTGTATTCCGGCAAACTTGTTGGCACATCGACACCCTGAGCAGCTTTGCATGCACTTCCACCACGCCCAGCACACGTCCAGGATTAAGTGTGCAGGGGCTTCGGATACACCCTAGCGCCTTGACCCCCTGCGGCATCACCTGTTCCCTCGCTCTCTGAGTAAGCAGGGTTTGAGGCTGCGGGTCTGCTCACCTTCGAAGGGGCTCTGTCCAGGTCCATCGACGATTACATCAAAATACCTCAGATTGTCTTCGTGTGGAGTAGCGCTGATGCCCGGTGCGGGATCAGAGATCAAGCGCTCCGTCTCCTGCGGGTGATGAATGCGGATGAGAGCAAAGAGAGCATACACAGGCATCAGAACCCACAAAGCGCTCGAGCGGCGCGTAGGAGGGCAGGGAGCGAGAGGTGCCGGGCGCACTCACCTTGATGATTCGCTTAGGCAGCGACATTGTGACTAAGCTGTTGGATGCTCGCTTTGCGCCGTTGCTTCCGCAGAGCAACGATGTTCGGCCAAAGGCTTGACCAGGTTTGCTTATGTCGACTGCGGGCTCAGATTGCCAAGCGGTTGTGAGAGCAGCTCGGAAGCTTGTGGATTGCAGTGGTGATCGTACAATAGCGCAGCGCGCTGTGCCTTGTGTGTGCGGCGTGCGAAGTCGTGCGAATGGATGTGACAGGCAGCGTATGATGCATAGGCGTGGATGTAGTATCGGTGTGGCAGGCGTGGTGTGGAGGTGCGAAGTGAAAGATTGGACTGACACTGCGACTTGAATCTTGAGTACGCGCAGAAGCGCCAGCCGCTATCTGCGTGTGAACAGCCAGGTATATACGGCACATGTCAGTGAGTGGGCTGTTCAACGCGCCGGCGGCCCTGTGGCTTGAGCGCATGTATGTTATGCGATGCATGATGCTGCAACCATAGAAGCGACCGACCGACCCCTTCACGTGCTTCCTCAGTCCTGCTCCACTCACACTCGAGACTCGCCCGGCCAGGACCGGAGTTTAGCTCTGCCGAAGAAGTGCTGCTTGTCTCTTGATCATCTCCCACGCCTCTCCTTCTTCTGCCACATTTACCGCCGTCTTCGCTTTGCCCACACAAATTCACTCATCGTTCAATCAAACCTGTCGCAAATGTCTGCTGCAACCAGCACTGCTGGGCCGGCCACCTCGGGCTCGGCCTCAGCCACACCGGCTCCGGATCCGAAGATAGCTCGGCGGCTTCAAAACGTCAAGAACCTCATCATCGTATTGTCTGGCAAAGGCGGCGTGGGCAAGTCATCCGTCACTTCACAGCTGGCGTTATCGCTCGCCTCTCAATCGGATCCCATTACGGGTCTTCGGAACAAGGTGGGGGTGCTGGACGTGGACCTGACCGGACCTTCTATACCCCGTATGCTTGGATTGGACGGACAAGCGGTCAGGCAATCTTCAGATGGCTGGGTGCCCGTGTATGCGGACAGGGAACAAAGTTTGGCTGTGATGAGTGTCGGATTCTTGTTGAGAAGCAAAAATGACAGCGTGGTGTGGCGAGGACCAAAGAAGAACGCTATGATCAAACAGTTCCTAGGAGACGTGCGGTGGGGTCCATTGGATTACCTCATCCTCGACACTCCGCCCGGTGAGTCAGACGTTGCCGAGGACTTGCTCGATACTTTCACAGCGCCGCATCACTTCTGACACTCGCGTTGGATCCGCCTTTCTAGGCACATCGGACGAGCATATATCACTTCTAGAGTATCTGCACCACTTCAACCCTTCCGCCATCATGGTGACAACGCCACAAGCCCTGTCTCTCGCCGACAACTTGCGCTCGCTAGACTTTACGAAGAAGGTGAATCTTCCCCTGCTAGGTCTGGTGGAAAACATGAGCGGCTACGTCTGTCCACACTGTACAGAGTGCACCAACGTCTGGGGAAAGGGCGGTGGAGAAGCACTTGCGGGCCGGGAGGGTTTAAGGTTCTTGGGCAGGATACCCATCGACCCGGGCCTAGTCAGAGTTCTGGACGATGCTAAGGAAGAAGCGACTAAGGCTGTGCACGAGGCCAAGATGGGCCCCATGGCGCCAACTTTCAACGATCCGAGCAGCGGAAACAGCATAGCAAAGGAAGTCGAGAATTTGCAGCTGACCAAAGAGGATGCGCAAGCGCAAGCCGAGTCTACCAGCTCGATCACTCGGCCCCTCGCTCCTCTGTCCAACGTCGCTCCTCCCGCAATAGCAGCCGAGAGCTCGACACCGGCAGGCACGGCATTGAGCAGAACCATAATACAGCGGTACAGGGACAGCGCTACCTTCCCGATCTTCCAAATCATCACCAGCAAGATCATCCAGGCTGCTGCCGAACATGCTCACCAACGCACAGCTGGTTATCCTTGAGGTGTGCGACTAGTGCCTCTGGAGGGTCGCCTGTGCAAATTGCTATACCATTATCAATGCTACTCCAGCGTGAGACTGTGTCTTGAGGTATGTGCAATGGTCGACTCGCCCGCCAAGAGTTTGGTGCGGCCGTCTTGGCCTAGATCGGCTCTTATATCTATCAAAAGTATGCGAGTATGCTAGCGTTCCGAGCAGGTGCGCTGACGAATCGCGTGGTTGCTGATGCCGCCTTGCAGGTCGCGGTGGAAGAAGCCACCAGCTTGGCTTGGATCAGCAGACATGTGCAAAGGCCGACAGGGCAAGTGAGATCTCAAATGCCCATTAAGCGCTTGATGCTGAGCCACGTCGCGAAGCTGAGTGGGCAAGGTGCAGCACACAAGGCGCTATGAGCGTACTGAACGATGCACAGCGAAGCGAGCAATCGCTCGAGGCCCGCGGACTCACGATATACTGGTCATGGGAACCACCTTGAGGAAGCCGATGCTAAGGCCCACGTAGAATCCTCTCCATCCCGAAGTTTTCCAGATCCACAGGGCGGTCTCCCCCATTCCCAGCATGGCGCCCGGCCTTATGATTCCTCCGACCTGCTGTCTCCTCCGGATCACCTCAAAGGGATACGCAGCGGTCTGACTGATTGCGCCTGCCAGCGCTCCAGCGCTAAGATCCACCATCGTCTTGGAAGGCCACCACCATTTTCTTCTCGCTCTCAATGATGACGACTCGTTCGGAGATTCTTGTGGGAATGCGCCTTGAAGCAGCGTTTTACACCGCCCAAAGACTAGGAAAGATGTTCCTGCATATGGGACCATTCCGAGCACTGTAACGCTAAAGCCTCGATAGAACTTCAAGAGTGGCATGCGTGCTAACATAGCTGCTCCTGCTTTCACTGTCGGTGTCGGTGGGGCTGGTGGCACTGGCGATGCAGCCGTTGCTCCGGCTGCAATGGCTCGTGATTGAACAGCACTGGTGGTCAAGCCAGCCGACGCTGCTGCGTGCGCCGATGTACCAGCAGCGACATTCGCAGCTCCCGCTGCTGCTGACGAGCTCGTAACAGCAGCTCCAGGCCGGCCAGCTCTTCGACGCGCGTCTCCTGAGAAAGGCGCCTCGGTGCTCCCCTCGGTGTAGATCTTTCGCACTATGCGCATGAGCGACCCTGAACTTTTCTTCCTCTTCGTCTCGAATGCTAACCGCACCCGTATCAATTCGAGCGGATACGTCAAGAAGACAGACAACACCCCTGCATCCCCCCGCCAAGAAAGTATCAGCTCTGCTGCAGCTCCAAGAGCGGCAATAGCCAGCACAGGCCTCCCACTCACCTGAGGTGGAGCCTGCAAGGAATAGGCGAGCCGATGTCTCCTGCTCGGGCGTTGGCATCAGAAGCTGCAAGGAAGTGACAGAGATGCACAGATGAGGTCACCCTTCTCAATCGGAGAGCAGAGATCGTCGAGCTCGACTCACAAAGTGCATCCTGTCATACGCCATGTACTTGATAGCAGCGTAGGGAAATATCCTCAGCAGTGTAGCAGAATGACCTTGAAAGAGCGCTGTGGGTCCTTGATCTCTGACAATAGAACCTGCAGCTGTGAACACTCCGGTCCATTTACCTGTGAGGTGTAGACGCGCGGCGAGCAACGGTGTGAGGATTCACACGATCAAGCAGATGGTCGCGCTGCCAACTTACCGCTATACTTCTGGAACTCTGGATTTTGTGCTTGGAAGAGGATTTTGACCCGATCCAGGGGAGCGATCGCTGTCTTGGCCTGCATACACGGAGAGTTTCGGATTCAGAGGGCGCCGTTCAGAGGTAATAGTGAGATGCTCGGTCGATTGCAATGCTGTGGTCTCTGGATCAGACAAACAGGGCCCGATATAACCCCAAGCACCGCACCGCACCGCACCCTTCCGACCCAAGGCAAGCCGCCTCCCGGAGCGCAAACAGCGCTTCGAATCCTGCAGAGGACCACACAACGGAGCTAGCCTGCTTGGTCTCACCCTCTGGCGGTCAAAGCTGCGTTCAGCACTCTCCCCAAAGCTGCGCTCTCCTCGCTCGTCGAGACCTCTACCTAGTCCTAGTGACCTTTACAATCATCGTTGAATCTATCGCCGCCTCCCTTTCGGACTGACTCACCACACACCCTGCCACACCACCTGCCACACCACTGCGCAGGACATAGTCCAAGCTTTGCTTATCCAATGCTCGTTTCCCTTTTGCACTCGTGTGCGTGTCATCCACCTCTCTCGCCTTGCCCTTGTCCAGGCTCGAGCTTGTCAGGCGGTCCGCGTGCAAGGCAGATGAGCCCTGTGACCGCTGCTGCTCAGCAGTGGCCGTCTGACCATGGCCTGACGCTTCGTCGGTCTCGCATACTGGCGGCGAATGTTTGGCAGCGGGCAGGCGCGCCATCCTTCTTCTTGCCTTTCAATCCTGCCTTCCAAGTGATGAGCTACGTCAAGCCGTTAGGCGTGTTGAGGTGGAAACCGCTACAGCAGCCCAACTCAATGAACTTCGGTGTTGTGCGATGGCGGATGTCAGAGTAGGGAGGGCTGCGCAGTGAGAGGCCGAAGGTTGAAATGCGCGTCCTCGGATAGGTCAGGAAGTCACGGAGTTCAAGCGAGCGAGCGAGTGACAGTTCGAGCCGCACGACACGCCTCGAGAAGTTAGCCGGGGGTCGGGCGCGCCTCCGCGCTTGTCCGATAGCGTGCAGCGCGCGCGCGCGTTGCTCCGATGGCCGAGGCCGGTCGGTCATCGGGTCCAGCCAGGATCTGCAATCTGCTCGATTACATGCGAGGAAAACCATCAAAGGAAGCATCATCACTTGGTACAACTGCTTGATCAATCTGACAGTCGTGAGGAAGCGGCATGGCGAATCCATCATGAATTTGTGCCTGCGCCTGATAGGTCAAGTAGTCTCACAGACATGCCAGCAGAGAGCGCGTCCAGACGCTTTCTAGGCATCGACCTCTGGCCACTTATCCAGCAGCTCATCCCACAGCTTTTCTCCTCTCTTCCACATGTCAATCTGACCGTCCACAAAATCTCCCAGTAGCTCCTTCATCTCGTACTCCTTGGCCATTGTGAAGACCGTATGTTCTCTGGCCACCTGCTGAGAGAAGGCGACGCTGACATCGTGCGAGGTGGTCACTGCCTCTTGCAGTTCGTTGATACGACCATCCAGCCTCTGCATCCTTTGCACACGCGTCCTTTCCTCGTCCACGCCCCTCACGCTGTCGAATCTGTCGCGTAAGTAGCCTCCAATGCCTGGTCCGCGAACCCCACCATGCCCGTGTCCTGCACCGTGCGGGCTGCTCAAGGATGCCAGGCGATCCCTCTCTGTCACCACGCCCGAGAGGTAATCCGTAAGCTCTTCAAAGTCCAGCTGCTTCTGATCTCTGAGTCGAAGGAGATTGCGATGAGACGACGCGTACGCCAACAAAGCGTGTACCGAGGACAGCAAGTCGTCAGTTGACCGAGAAGCCTGCAGATCGAGGAGGTCAAACACGATGGGCTTAGCGCGACACCACATGATTCCCAAATGCCATGCACAGACTCACGAGCTGCTTTTGCATTCTAGACCATTCCATGTTGGCTGCAGCGAAGCGATTTAGAGGGTCTGTGATGCCGCTCTCCAAGTAGCCGAGACCTTCGATCGCGCCAGCAAGGTCTTCGTAGTCCGTGGCGAGGTCTTCAGAATCAACGCCAAGATTTGGCGAGTAGAGTGCAGGGGACGACAGGGGAGATTTGAGCGTCGATTTGGAAGCAATTGGCGACGCGGTGGATATTGGAGCCAGTTTGGAAGGCCGTGTGCGAGAGGACGCGGGCGACCGAGAGGAAGATGAGGGATCCCACGAAACGCCGAGCCCGAAACGTGAGGCAAATGTAGGCGTTTTGGTTTCATGGGGAGTAAGGGAGGGCGGTCCTGAAAACCATCAGCACGTGTGAGCGGACGATAGCAGATGTTCCGAGACAGCTTGAGCGTCCCAAAACAAATGTACACCTTGATCTTTTTACTCACCGCCATGTCTCGCCCTGGCCCTCGTGACGACCCTTTCGGTGCTAGCTAGCCCCTCTTCAAGCCTCTCCAGCTTGTCCTTCATGGCTTCATATTTCTCATCTGGCTTTCGAACCTTGGTGAATGCATTGAGCAGGGTGTCCGTCAAGCCGTCCAAGAGGCCTCCTGGTTGTCCACCGCCTGGTCCAGAGTAATGATTCTCATTCGACTGTCTGCCATGCGTCGAGCTGACATGCGTGTGCATGTCCACGTGCTATTGTACGAGGTCGAACCTGGTAAGCTAGAACCCAAAAAAGAACTTTTGCAGCACTGCGCGCTGCCCTCACCCATTCCGTAGATTCCAAGAAGGTCCGGAGAAGCTGTGCGCGCTGCAATGTTGGGTGTCGACAGGTGCGCTCCAGGAAGAGTTGAAGGCTGCAGAGGAGATCAAGTCGAAATGTGTCAGCCCTTGCGCGTGTGCATACAATGACCTGCACGCGGTCACACCCACTCTGCCTGCCTGCGCTCGATAAACTCGACGCTGAAGCGATCGCCAGTGAGATACTCTGCAGGGACACGCTGACGTCAGCTGTGAGGTCTGAGCGCAACACCACCTCTAGATCGGCTCACCAAGACGATGCTTGTCAGGCAAGGGTGGCACTAGACAGGCCGGAAAATCCCGCTTGAGGTTGTCCCTCAAGAAGACGAAATCTTGAAATCTCCTGCGTGTGGTCAGTCGCGTCCGGGTGAAATGTGACAGATTCGTCTGCGGGGGCAGCAGAGGTAGGGCACGAGCGATCAACTTTGGCTGCTGAGCGTATACGGGTCGAGATGCTGCTCATGGCTCACCTCTGCTCTGATGCCGTAGCTGATGAATGCTTCCTTGGTGCCTTCATTCTCCCTTCTAGGTTCACACACCTGCACCAGCAAGGAACCTTGCCATTTGGGTCTTTCTCCGTCGCCCTCGGAGGCGCCTCGCGCGAGAGGTGCAAGCGCGTGTCGTGTGATGCCGTCGATGCCGGGGGTTGCCGGACCGGCTGGGCCAAGGCTGGAGCCGAAGGAGACATCTTCCGAAGTGGTGAATTTGCCTCCACCGCTTGAGCCAGGAAGACTGGAGCCCGCTTGATTGAAGGCAGCATCATCGCTGCGGTCCCACGTCACGGACGTGAACGCATCATCCCCATCCATCTTGGTTCAGGAATGTGGAGCTCCTGAAACCTAGAGTGAGAGCTGGAAAGGTAGCGCAAGGAGCCAGAAGTGGTGACGATCGCAGGCTGTGTGGGTGACCGGAAGCATGCACTTTGTGCGAAGAGGTAACGCTGAGAGTGCTGCTGTTCGCAGCAGTCGCTCCCTCAAAACTCCGAAAGGTGGACTTCAAGACGAGACGAGAGGGGAATGGTGGAGTCACGTACGCAGAGTCACCAGTGAGTGGACAAGGCAATCGTGAATACGGCGGGTGTATGCAGTCTCCACTCACCGCTCGATCTCCACTCAGCAGCAGCCGCGTAGCAGCAACAGCTATATAGCTGCAGACCGCCAGGCGGATTCATGCGAACGATGCTGATGCTTGCGCGGCGCAGCCACACGGCGTGTGCGAGCTAGCTGAGCTCGCGGGGTCAGCCGCGCACGCTCTCGTACGGGAGTCACCACTGGTCGGACCTCAGCAGCCTCAACACCTCGACGAGTCCACTCAACTCTGTGATTGCAGCTGATCGGCGGTGATTGGCTCTTGCGTCTACATGAATCTCGAGACAGAATTGCCAGCTTGTTCCAAAGCGACGAGGGCTCGCTGCACCCAGAAATCACGCTCGAGAGCGACACGGACACGCGGCCGATCGTGGGGTCAAGTGCAGATCGCAAGCTTTTCATCTCGCGCTGGGCTTCTTCTACCGACTCGCAGCTTCTTCGGAATACCGTTGGGAGAGCATCATTTCACGAGCATCTCATCCGTTCAGGCCAGCTCTCATTTTACGATTACCTGACAGCAATGAGCTGTAAGAATCATGCCCCCAAAGCTCAAAGAGATGCGTCGGCGATCCGGCGGTGGAGAGCGGCTTGAACTGTGAATGGTCACGGACCGCCCAGCCGCACTCCCTAAACCGGAGCTTGAATCGCGAGCAAGTCGTTCATCGTGAATCAAAATCAAATAAGGAAACGCAAAATCAGGAATCCAATCATGTCCCTGTTGTGCACCTTCGGCATTTCCTCCGGCCAATCGCTTCGCAGAGGAAAGGTCACGAGGATGAGTGACGAGGTGTGGAGGGAGTCGAGAGTCTGGACCGCTGATGCTATGAACCTGCAGGTCGGTCCAACTAGCGCGTAGAGCAGCGTGCCTGCCTGCGTACCGCGTACCTCGTGGTGCCAGCAGGGAAAGACGGGCTTGACGCCGGTCTTGCCCAAGCCACCAACGCATCAATCCTGACTACTGTGACTGTAGTTCCGCGATAAGGGCTTCTTTGAGTTGCTCCATGTGGGTCACAGGCATCCCGCCTAGTGACCAATCGTGAATGACCACGAGGATGTATGAGAGGTGTCTGAAGTCGCGAGCGCGCCTTGAGCCTTGATAGCGAGTGCGACCTGGGTGCCGATTGCTTGCACGGCTATCGAGGCTCTTTGGTTCGTCTGACATACTCCTGATCTCCATCACCCTCAGCACTCGCCTCGTACTCGCACCGCCAATAAACCCGTGATTCTGCTCCAAGATGTCTGACGGTAAGTCGAGCTCTGGACGCCGACTAGATTGAGGCGGACATGGCACTCCTTCCCAACCGCTCACTCTTCCACTCTTCTTCCCGCTGCCATTGCAAACTCTCTCAAGAGTCCAAGACCATTCCTGAGGCCAAGCAGGACCTCAACACTCACGAGCTCTCGTCTGGCGCCAACGAAAGCACGCACACCGACGAGTCTGGCGTAAGCGGACTGCTCCATAAGGTGACGGACAAGGTGCAGGAGGTCGGACACAAGCTGGCCGCAAAGGATGACGAGTGAGTGACTGGTTGTTGGAGGGGCCATGCGAAGAGCGCGACTGGTTGTCGGACGGGCCATGCGAAGGATGTGACTGTCTCTCTGAGTCAAATCGAGACGAGAGCGGCACGTTGCAGACCTGCTTGTCTGCTCGTCTGCGGCTGTCCGCGCTTTACGCACAGAGATGGGTGTGTAGCCCATCCATGTCACAGAGCCCGCCGCTTCTTGCAGGGTCGGAGCAAGCCGCCAAGAGACGACACTGACCCAGTCTCTTGACATCTGACGTCTCCCACTAGAACGCACATCGCTCAGCAAGAGCACTACGTCAACGAGAGACCAGGAGGTGGTCAGATCTCGATGGGCATGCAATGATGCCGAGAAGCGCTTCGATCCCATCGCTGTATCAAGCATGTAGTACGGAGCGACACGTCCGTCACCCGCTGTATCAAGCATGTAGTAGTACGGAGCGAGACGTCCGTTACCCTCTTCTCATGCTTGAATGCACGTCTTCTGACCGCCTTCCCTGATTCGACGGTGCGGTCATGTGATCGGGTACATGTCTAACGCGTGGAATCAGCGCACCCAGCTCGCACCACCAGCGGTGATTTCGAGATCGTGGTCGTATCATTTGGCGCTGAGCCGTCTGTACTACTAGCGATGAGAATCACGCAGTCAACTAGCTGACGAAAGATTCGCTTGCGCTGACCGAGTGCGGTCGCGCGTACATGTATTCAAGGTGCTTTGCGTCGACGAGAGCTTATATCACAGTGAGGTACGTAGTGAGAAGTAGGGGTGGAGAAGGCATCGAACCAGTGTGTCGGTCGATCGCCACATGATGAATCAGGTACCGCTGCTGATTGTCTTGATGATGGCGCAAGGGAGGGCTTGCGCTGGCGGAATCTGGGCTTGATTGAAGACCATGTACAGCTGAGGTCGCGAATTCGATGGTGAATGCGATCAATTTGGGGGCGAAGGGAAGAGGTTGATGGATCATTTGGCGTGACTTCAGAGGCGTGCGTCGGAAGGCGTGCATCCGATAGACAGCCTGCTGTCAGTCAAAGAGGGGTGCGCTGCTTGTGACGGTTGAGCCTGGAAGGTGACGACGAGATGACGATGTGAAAAGTTTGTGGATTCAACGGTGACCGAATGAAAGTTGGCGATGTGTCCGAGATGGCCAAGTCACATTGACTTGAGCATTGACAGACTAGTGTGGAGAATCGCTCGAGTTGAGGTGATCTAAGAAGGTTGGGAGCCATGGGTTGTGTTCATGCAGGCTGCCATCTTGAGCTGGTTGATGAATCGAGGCACGATATGCTCTACCAAGCAGGCAGGCGAACGGGGCCAAGCTTGCGCTCGCGTTTCCAGTTTGGAGGACGACGTGCCTCAGCTTCAGGAGCGGGATTGGCTTCGCGCTTCCAGTTTGGAGGGCGACGGGGGTCTGCCTCGGGATTGGGACCACGCTTCCAGGAGATTGGGCGACCGCTGAACGCCTCGCGTTTCTCGACCTCTACAGCCTCTTCACTTCGCCATTGAATTCTGCTTGGTGCCCGATTTCCCTGTGGCTCGGGCGACTGTATGCGTTGATCAGGAGAGGTAGAATGCGTCAACGTGAGTGTCAACGGCTGCGGCGGTGGTAAGGCGCACCGTGCTGATCTACTCACGCGCTCGACGAGACTAGGAGCAGCTGCAACGCAGGCAACAGCCAGCATGCTGGTGATAGCGAGAGCACGCAGAAGCTTCATGATGGACGAAGGTGGTGCTGAAGCGAGGTGAAGAGCTTGACCGTTGAGCGTCGAGTGTGTGGCTTGTGGAAAAGGCCGATTGCGATCGACGTGACGCAAGTCGCAGAGCTCCCAGCGTAGATCGACGAGATAGCTGAGTGAGGTGTGAACGAAGAGTGTGGAGGCGTGATTGAGAGGGTGAGGGATGGTAGGGATGAATTTGTCAGTCACGAGTGGGCCCACAACCACGACGCTCGGGGGCTCTGATTATATGTTGATAGCGAGCGAGCAGGACGTGACGATGGCAGGAGCTGAGATGAAAGAGAGCTGCTTGGCTGCAGCGGGGTGCCGTCATCCATCAAACCCACCGACCCCAATTTTGTGGGCAACGAACTCAGCCGCATCAATCATTGCACCGGAGCAGCAGGTGGGCAAAGCTCCGTGACCAGAGGTTGGCCGGCATGTGAACACTCGCAGCTCCATGAAGGACGCTGCTGGGACATGAGAGCACGCAAAGCTAGGGGTGGTTGCGTGGACGCAGCAGCGTCACAGCAGTGTAAGACGCGGGAAGCTGCACGATGAAACCCCCTGCAAGTTTACGCGCGCGCGAGAGGCAAGGCACGCGGCAAGCAGCTCACATCATCAAGCAGACATGCATGGGTTTTGTCCCCCCCCCCCCCCCAATGCAGCAAGGTGCAGCAGACTCAGACACCCCTTTGACGGGTCGCGGCTAGGCAGCTCGATCGCGGCGATCACCGCACGCACTTTTCGCCCTTGCCTCATGTCTCGCAGCTAGCTAGCACAACCCGGATCAGGGCTCGCACGCGCATTGCTCCCGGTTCATCCTTGGGCGTCGAAAGATCTCTCGAAGGCCTTGGCACAGCGCCACAGCCCGGCACCACTCGACGGTGAAGCAGCGGTGAGCAAGAAGGCAACGCACGCAAGGAGTCTCCCAGCGCCCACAACTCGGGTCGGCCCCTGCTTTCTCCCCCCCTGACCGTCTTTGACAGAGCTTTGATGCTCCAAGCCGTCATCGCTGCTGTCAAGGAGGTCCCAGCGAAGCAGCATCGTTACATGGAGGCCAGTGCGCATCCTGAGCGGTTGCTGCCGATCCGCAGGCCCTGCCTGCCACAGGCAGCAAGAGGATCAAGGGTGACGATCGAGTAGAAGTCCTCTGTAGCGGCCAAAGACATCCGCATCGGGAGACGTTCCTGAGCGACACCTGTGTTGCAGGAATGTTCTCAGACGCTCCAAGTGACGGTGCCCAGCAGTGCCCTTGCTGGCTGCCCTGCTGCCTGCCGCATTCAATCTAAATGGTGCCGAATCTCGCACTAGCGTGTTCCCGTGACGCGAGCTGCATCGACTCACCCGCCAATTAAAGCAAGAACCCTGCCGACTTGGCAGCAACTCACGTCGTCGAAAGTCGTCCTTGGGATGGCGCGAGACTTGCTAATATGCTTGGCAGATGAGGTGTCTGCCTGTTGAAGATCTTGTCGCGCGCGGATGAGATCTGCCGGTGGGTGCGGGTGATGATGATACCTATTGCAGACGGCATGGGACAACAATCGTGAATCGTGGATCGTGGTGGATCGGCAACGCTGAACCAAGACTTTACATATGTTGGAGGCGAAGCGGAGTAGGCAGAGCCAGTAAGCAAGGTCTTCCTTCCCTGCTTCGTACGGTGAGGTCGCGAATGCTGGCAGTACGGTCAGAAAAGGTCAATTGTGAGCGCGTATGCTTGGCCAGATCTTGCCCTTGTTCCTCCCGGCTTGCTGCTTGCCGCTTGCCGCATGGCTGTCCACAACCAAGGAGAACTATAGCTGCTTGACTCCTCTTTCGGGGCTGAGGCGTACAGGTCTCGGTAGCACCGTAGCAGATCTCTGACACACCCACGCAGCTCCCGGTTCATCATACGATGTCGAGAAATGGGCACATGAGGAATTGAATATAGACAGATACTGCGCACCGTTGCGGCTCCTCCAATTGCTCTTTATTCCGCCCCGAAACCGCTGTCGTGCCGGCACCACCCTTGCAAATCGCGCATATTAGGTCGCACCTTGCTCAAATGAAACCATGCACATCAGCTCGAGGACTTGAATTGAGTTCGATCAAATCTTACGAAAGCAGACCCAAGAATCGTAAATCAGGATACACGATTCATTAATTCCGATCCGCTGCTGCGCTTATTTCGGCACCATCATTTGGCGCTGGGTTCAGGTTACTCACCACTTTTTCGCCGAGACACACTCGTGACTCTGGTGAATCTGCGAGCTGAATCAGCGCCTCGACATCGAGGCCAAATTGTGATAGAAAATGCTGGCCACAGATCTCTCGAGGAGAATCCGTCATCACTTACACGCCACAGATGTGAGCCTCTGCGAGCGATGTTCGCCTTGGCAGTCGATTATGTAGCCCCACTCATGGAATTCTAGGAGCAAGAGCAAGCAAGAGCTGACGTGGACTGCTGCGTAGCCACTTGTCCAAAGTAGTATGGTCTCAGGGCGCGCGCCTACGGCCCAGAGTAGCAAGGTCAAGAGCGGTTCTAATTTTACCAATATAGCAATTCACGTAGCTTGCCTGGCTGCATGTCAATCCGGTCTGTCCTGTGTTCAGGAGGAGCCCTTGGCATGGCTATGGCTATGGCTGATGCATGGCTTTCACTGACCACGCGGCGATTTGTGCTTTGGATTCATCCGAGCCCGAGCAGCGAGCAAGTCACGATGGAGTGTTCGCACTGACGAGCGCGAATTGTGAATCTGAATCAGAATTCAGAAGAGTCCACGTTGCTGCCATCCTGGATGCAGACCAAGCGCGAATGTGGTCCAAGTCTTGAGTGTTGCGTTCTATAGCGCCTTCCTTGCCAGCAATACATGCCATGTGTACAAAAATTGCTCGCCTGATATATGGTGTCGTGATGCGTGCACACGAATCACGTTTGGTCGTGTGACCATGCACTCGCTATCGCGAGTGTCTCGGGAACGCGGAATTCCGGTCAAGGCGATCGGCGCAGCTGCATAGAGATGAGAAGAGCAACCTGCGACCGGTACAGCATATGTATGAGCTTACAAATATACGTATGGCTCGATCGACGGGCGACGAGGACGATGGTGTACATCACCTGGTTTGACGAGCTTGAGGTCTGTGGGCGCTGCAAGTCCAGGCGAGCGGGAAGAAACTCAGCATCATCGGCGCTGGAACAGCAGGTATGCTGCGATCGAGAAGGAATGAATCTGAGTCGCAACCATAGCGTGACTCACAGGGAGCGCGCAGATCCTGGTCTCTGATCGTGTATGCGTATACAAATGAAGCTCGTACGACCTATGCATGAGTGGTTCAAACCTCGAGTCTGACAGGTGTATGCGCGTTAGGCGGTGCGCAGCCCAGGCGGCTGTTTCGTCTCGGCCTCTAGCTTCCATCCTTGCAACCATCGTGATGAGTGCATGGATGGTCGCGGAGTCTGCTCGGCGAATGGCCTATGCTTATGCTTGCCATGCAGCATAGTCTTCCGGCAAAACCGCCTTTCACAGCTTTCATAATATGAAACTCATGACTGCGGCAACGCGTGGTGCAATTCGCAGCTTTGCGGTGCTGCAGTGAGCTGAGAAACCGCATGGATAAACAGCGGGAAACGGAAGCATATACTCAAACAATCACCTGCCGACGGTCGACGCATGGGCTGAATGAGCATCGACGGTACCGAGGAAAAGACATGGCTGTGCTTTGCTTTGCTATGCAACCAATTCCATGCACCTTGACGGAGAACAGCTGCTGCGCGCTTCGAGAGCAGTGACATGCGTCACCGTGCTCACAGCAAGTCACCACCATGACCACAGCACGGAGCTCAGCTAGGCATCTGCATCTCCCAGGCTGTGCCTTGCACGACTTGCTCTGAGCGCCTGCGGAACCGCCGACTGGCACTTCCCTTGCATGTATGCAGGCGAGCAAACAGCAAAAAAGACGCCCGCCGACAGCCGAGCCAGCGTGCGCATCGGTTCCGACATACGAGGCTAAAGGCTGGACGGTCCCGTCAACGCCTTCATGGTTAGGGTTCACATACATGGAGGCGACGGACGCCGTCTCGTGGCTTCACTCGGAATGCGCATTTCGGTGGCGGTTGGAAGCGCTTGCGTCCTTCCAAGAGCCTTCGCCATGCAGCACCTCTTGCCAGTCTGAATGAAGGCGCTACTACTGCGCATGTGAACTCGGCTTTGCGTTAAACGCGGCCTGGCTGAGATGCGGTTTCCGGAGCCCTTGCCAGCATTGGTGCTCCAGTCATTCCTACACAATTCATTCACGCGAGTTTGAATCCTTGGCGTAGCGTACATGCGGCATTGTGTGACGTTGTTACAAGCTCAGAATGCAGAAGTGGTCCTCATACTCTCTAGCTTTTTGTTCACCTCTGCCGGCGTGCGATCAAGCTCCTCGGCAATAGCCCGTTGTTTGGGCGGGGACAGCAAGCCATAAGTCTCGCATAGGTCGCCATCCACCACGCCTTTCACCGGCGCATAGTAACCTCTGTACGCCAGGTGGTCCCTGCCTACTACGCTAGATGTGGCCTCTTGTCTGAGGTGCATCTCGAGCGTGCTAAGAGTATCGACATCCTCTTTCGCTACAAAGGGTATCAGAGCGCCGATCGTGCCCCCAAGACCAGTGTAGAGAATGACTTCCCTTCCTCCAGGCACGAGACTAACCTTGGTCAAGCTGGTGATGATCTCGTTTAGGTGGTAGTGCGCCACGAGCTGGCTCTTGTGAGGCGCGCCTTGCAGATATGGCTTCTCATGGAGCACTGACAGCCCCGAGGTATCCTCATCCACGGACTTGCTGATGTCGGCGTCTATCCTTGAAATGAAGACATTGCCAAACTTGTCCGCGCCTGCAACAGTATCGTAATCGAGCAATTGAGTGACTGTCATCCACCGTGGCACTGTGTCGTCCGCAAAGATCAGCAAGCGATTTTCTGCGGGCTTGTAGGTGGCGTAGAAGACGGACTCCGCCTGATCGCTGACGATAATGCGAGAGCCTTGGGTCTCGAGCGACACGATCGAGGTGGAGAAGTTCTGCAGGAATGGTGCTGTCATTCAGCACCAGACTTGAAGTGCGATCCCACAAGCAGGTCCAACTCACCTTGTTCTCGCACTTGCGCAACAGCTTCTTCTTGCCGAGGTCATATATGCGCAGAGCTTTGCCCACGCCCGCGAGAAGCCTACCGCCAAACGACTTGAGCGCAAGTGGAATGTCGTCCACCTCAGTCTTCTGCAGTAATTCCAAGCCTCTGCCGTCGTCAATGAGCTTAAAGACGCTCAAATAGGCTTGACCCACAGAGCGAGGACTGACGTGGACGTCGACACCACTGCCAACAACCAAGTAGGGTTCTGCCGCTCCAAAGGGAACCAAAGCGGCGCTGAAGGCTGCTTCGTTACCCTCCAAATCGAGCTGGAATGTTGTCTTGAATCCTTCCGCATCGACGACCCGAATGCAGCTGCTCCATTGCCCAGCTTCACCTCGCACGGGGCCGAAGTCGGCGGCTGGAAGATCAAGGACGCCCCTTTTGACCTTTCTGCTCGACGAGCCGCTTGCCGCTAGTCTCTGGTCCTGAGCCCATGGTGACAATGTGCGATGATCCGCTTCGACCACGTAGAACAAAGTCGTTCTGCTTGGATGGTTCACAAACCGGCGAGGGGTGTAGCTCAAGGGCAGGGTATCCATTTTGAGCTTGGTGCCCAGCGTCGGGATTGTAAAGATCCGCAAGCTGCCAGAGATTATACCAATCAGGCCTTGCGGGCACATTTCAGCAGAGAAAGACCAGGCATGATCGAGCGCTTCGAAGATTAGAGGGGTGAAGTGCGACCGACCCTGATGCGTGTACGAGAGCCAAGATCGGGAGCTGAGCGCGAGCACGGCAGTCTGAGTTCCGTGAACCTTGACTCGGACCAGGCGAACTGGCTTGGCACCCAGGAATCGTGTCCTCGTATCAGTCAATTGCCCAGAGATAGGGTCCAGCACCGTCCGAAGTAGCACACCGTTGGACAATCCGATGTTGACAAAGAGAGTGGCGTGGTTCCTGTCGATGACGGAATCTTCCATCTCTGCAATACAGATGCTGCTCGCCGGCGCGGTCAAAGCTTGGATCGAGATGCTTGCAAGCGTGCTGTCCGGGTCCAGAGAGACGACGCGCACAGTCTGATCGTCACACCCCACAGCCAGGTAAGGTGTTCTTTGCCTTCCTTCCGGCACGTCCGCAATGCTCAGCGTCAAAACTCTTGCGCCGACGCTCTTCCTTTCTTGATACTCGTTCAGCTGACCATCCATGTCAAGCTCAAAGTACACTAGCTCGTTGGTCGGCGCCAGCGCCAACACCACCTGCCTCTGGTTCGTAGCAGCCGCTACGATCTGGGTGGGCCGGCCATTCGGAGCTGCGGGGGTTTCCCACTCCGTGACTTGCTTGTCAATCATGACGTGCCTGATGCCTCCAGGGTGGACTTGGAGGAGTGCATCGGTGCCCAACTGCTGGACAGCCAAGGTGGGCGCGGAGGTCAAGAATCCGGAGTCGCTCACTTCCTCGATGGTTTCGCCGATTGAGAGAACGAGCGTACCGTTGACGAAGGACAGGACGATGTAGGCATCGTACTGATCCTCAGCTTTTAGTTTGGTCGTCCAGACCGCGCCTGGCACTCCTGGCAAATCCGAGCTGATCGCTTCTTGCACCTCGAGACCGTGCTGCAGCATCTTGAACGAGCTTCGCGGTCCTCTGCCGCAAGCAGCTATGATCTGGGGCGAGTCCGTCAAGAGCGGGTTGAGCACCTTGGCGTCCAAGATGGGGTCCAGAGCTGAGATCTCGTCCGTTTGCATGAGATTTTCGAGCGGTCTCGGGACGAAGGTTGGAACCTCTGGTGCCTCGTCTCCTGCGCCAAGAGAATCATGGTCCACGCTGGAGTACTCGGGCAGATCGTCGTCGTCTCCGAGCTTCTGGAACGAGTAAATGTAGCTTGGACCACTCTCCGATGCCACAAAGAGGAGACCTGCTCGCAGAATGACCAGCGATGCGGCAATTGGCACCGTGTCGAAGTACTTGATTTTGAGCGCCTGCATGTCTTCCCCGTCGTGCTCAATTGTGATCTTGAAGAGATCCCCATCCTCATTTTGTACCAGGAAGAAGAAGCCGGTCTGCAGAACGCAGCCAAATAAGGTCAGTCCGCGAGCCGCGCTCGTGAGCTCTCCATGCACCGCCGACGCCCACTCACTTTCATCCTGTGACACACACTCGCAACGATGATGCTGCCGCGCTGTTCTGCATTGACGGGGTTCAATCGCTTTGGTATCGGGACACGATGCTCCTCCCCAACGCTGTGCTTGTAGGAGATGTAGTCCTCGGAGCAGACCAACACTCCGCTCGGACCCTCCCACCTCTCCGACGTTTGATTGTAGCCACCAGGCACAGCGATGAGATGTGATGCGGTGTGGGAGACTGGCGAGGTCCACCTTCGGACCACGTGATTCAAGCCCAAGTCGAGCTCGTAGTATGTCAAGAGCTGCGACGAGGCGGATCAGCAGTCAACGATGAATTTTGATGACTGAAGCAAGCACAACAGCCACATTTCGCCGCTCACCTTTTCAGTACTTTCATAAGCAGCGCCTGAGGCATCCCGATCGGCTTCTTCGTAGCCAACTTCCAGCGCCGCAAATACTGGATTTTCGTAGCCCACGTCCACACCAATGAGCGCATGGATGATCGCGCTATTCCTGTGCGCCTCGAGTGGACTGCTGATGGTCAGGTTGGCAGCTGCGTCCCGATTCAGGATGTACACCAGCTTGGCCTTCTCCAGGGCGCCAATCATCACCGCTCTGCCCTTGGGATCCACCGCCAGATACTGGCCGGGCACTATGCGGCGTGACCCTGATCTGCCGAACGTTTCACAGTGCACCTGCACGAATTGAAGCGTCTTGATGTCCAATTCCAGCAGAGCTATGCGACCTGAATCAGAACCGACGATGAGATAGTCTATGCGGGAGGACGAAGCGTTAGCAAAGCCACGGGCCCAGCCGCATTGTCCAAGCATACAGCCCACCTGAGCATACAGCACTCACCTTTGCTACCGCCAGTCAGCCTGAAGCTGGCCAAGCTGCGCACGATGCCAAAGCATTCCTGCTCAGCCAAGCTCACACTCCTTCCGCTGCTCGTGTCTGGTCTCAGGAGCTCCAACCTGCTGCCACCCCTACAAACCACGATCTCTTGCGTCCTTGTGCCGGAGAATTGTCCCACCACAGCAGCTGTGATGTTGCTGGGCGGAACGAGGGAGAGGTTGTAGAGATGCATGGTGCAGGGCGATGCAGAGCAAGTCGTTCGCGAGATGCTCGAGGAGCGCCACCAGACACCACACTTAGTGCCAATCGGACACGAGGCCTGCGTATATGGTGCGGAGGTGAATAACGAGAGATGCGGGATGGCAATAGTGGCCGTGGGGAAGGTGCACCTGAGCTTGAGGCGTCGAGGGTCGGAATTTTGAATGATCAAGAACATGAATGTTCTTGCGACGCGTCACGTGCTATGCAAGCAGAGGCGGGCTGTATGCCTATCAAAGTTGAACTTCTCTCCCCTGCGCGCCGTCGTGACACTGCCTCCACCTTCTGCTGGGCCCGAGCGGGTGGATGACCACAGCCCATCAACGCTCTTCTTCCCTCACACTGTGACCTGCTCCAAGATCTTGCCCACCAGCACCAAATCTCGCACTCAGTCAACCTCGCCCGTAGTCGCCGCGGTAGGCCGCTATGACAGACCAGAGTGAAGCAGGCCCGTCATCGCATTCCCAATCTAATCTAGCCAAATCGCTCGTGGCTGAGCTCCTAGAGCCCGCACGATCGGCGCGCAAGAGCTCTATCGGCTCCAAATTTCACCCTCCTTCGGCGTCGGAGACTTTTCAAAGCCGCATAGATGGGCGCAAATTTCAACTTGGCAATCCCGATCGACCTAGGCCCAAGGCGGAGAGGGGCAGTGTTGCGGCTAGGAAGCTGAAGCGGAGGGAAGACAGGCTTGTAAAGAGGGCAAAGAGGAGTGGACAAGGCGCTTTGCCTGTCAAGAGCAAAGACGCCAAAAGGGCGCTCAGCAGAAGCGAGCGGCGACGGTCGGGGCTGGATGTGAGGAATGAGCAGCCAAGGTGAGTTCGGGTACGTTTACAAGCGAAGGCGCCCGTGCCTGCGTGCGGATCGTGGCTCACCAACACAGACGCTCTCGCAGCTACGAGTCCCTTTTGCCCACCCACTCGCTCTGGACGCAATACATCCAGTCATTGCTGCAGCTGGTGGATGCCCAAGGTCGTCTCAATGCGGCATCGTTTACCAACTCGAACAACACGGCAGAAGAGCCTCTGATGGTGAAGGACACCGCCATCGGACTCATGCAGCAGAACCTGACCAAAGCAGAGCTTGCAGGGGGCCTCGTTAGAGGTGAGAGATGCATCGATGGGCATGTATGCTGTCCATTACCCATCTGAATTGGCATTCTACCCGCAACACAGTCACCCGTTCTGCGAATCCGGCACTAGTTGGTCTGAGCGGTATCATCGCCCGAGAGACGGAGCAGACTATCGTCATTGTACCTCCACCGCCAGCACCGGCCAACGGCAAGCCCTTTCGCCGGCCAAAGCGGACGACCAAGGGTGAGCTGTTAGATCCCAGCATCTACGCTTGTGTGCAGGTCCGCTTATGAGTTCTTCACTCACGAATCTCCGCCCCTATCTGGTACCGAATGCTCACGCAGTGATTCCTAAGCACGCCACGGACTTCGTTCTCTCCGTTCCACTCCCCAACATCGCCAACTCAGAAGCTGCAAGTGTAGATTCACAGTCGAGGACTCTGGACTTTACATTGCACGGCTCGCAGCTAAGGTACACGCTTCCTACTCGCGCCACGAGAAAGTGGAAGCATCGTCGCGTCGACGAGCTGTGAAAAGCAGCGAAAGCTGTCTTGTTTGCTGCCGCGAGTAAACGCCGATTCCAGTCTGTCGCGCAGTCCGTCTGGCAATCTCTGGGCCATGTGGACGACCACACTTTCGTGAGTCCCAGTCGGGCTGCACAGGTCACTCAATCAAGTCGTCTGACTCTCTGTAAATGCGAAAAGGACCCTGGAAACTCTAATGCCATTCACGCATGCTGCTCCAACGGGATTCTGCTCGCCTCGAATTGGTACCATCAAGAAGCCAGGCACGCCTCAGGTCTGCAAGGGCGAGACCAGGCACCGCGGACTTGGCTTTACTCTGCACTTTGATCTGCGCTCATAAGGGCAGACACATGTGCGACTAACCCTGCTCTAGAGCTAGAGGATCAGACTCGATGCAGGCTGGACGTGGTACACATCACTCCTTCCCTTGCCTCGCGATTCAACCAATACATCATGCAAAAGTGCACTGGATTCCATGTCGCACAAGCGTCTCTGCCAATTCGCAGAGCAACGACTTCATCTAGAGCTCCGCATCCCCTGCGCAAGGAACGTAAATCGATGTTTGGAGGAGCCTCGCACATCGGTACCGTACCGAGGCCCGCGATCGCGATGTGCGATTTATTCTCGCATGCAACCGTCGCCCTTGCTTTCATTTGGCTACGCATCATTCCAGGCACCTCGTATAAGCTTACCTGGGTCCAGCAGCGCATGCAGGCCCCCCCGCGCCCGGAACCCGATTAGCTTCGCCAAGCCAGGTGCTGCTTGCCTTGTGAATCACCAGAGTTTCAGGAGCAGACGAAATCCTCCTAGGATGCCCGCGTCCAGCCGTCTCGTGCGAGGGAAGCTGTAGGCTGCGCAAACGGGTGCCGCACCTGTACCCGCGCTGCGTTGCATCTCATCGCTTTTCCGTGCCTCATCGAAAGTCCCTGAAAATCGCAAGGAGGAATCGGCATATGGGAGTCAAAGCCCGCCGCATCTCACATAAAGTCCAACGACGCCGTCTTTCGTTCTGTAGGAGCCGATCTCGCCCTCGATCCCAGCTAGGCGACTTCATCTCTTACACCGCCTTGAAAGGACGACCACTGACTTCTGTTACTCCCGCCATGAATCACTACACTCTCTTTGCACTCAGCGCTGCCGTTGCTCTCTTGGGCACGGTGAGCGCGTCATTCCCTTACAAACGAAGTGCCGGAGCTGAGGTGCTGTTGCGTCGCGGTATCGACAGGAGTGATGGCTCCATTCATCCAAACAGTAAGTCCTTACATGGCTTCATTGACCAGGGTACTAGAAACTGAGGTCAATCCCTCTTCGAACAGGATTCACGTTTGAGGGCGAGTACAAGAGCCCAGATGCAGTTGCGCTCGCTGCTGTGAAGATGTGCAACGAATTGCAGAAACCCGGCATTGAGCTCGATCGTCACCTCACTTTCGTTCTCGCTCCCTCGGTCGACATGGCTAAGCGCACGATCGACTTCTTCTGCAGCAGCTGGAACGACCAGAGGTGAGCAATGATGGCATGCATATTGCTCAAAAGGAAGCGAAGCGCCCTGGCGTGCCTTGAGCTGATGTAGACCCCATGGTCGCAGTAACTATTATGACGAAAGCTTCAACGTGGGTGTTTGTAGTCGCAATCGGGGGCTAGAGCTATCAGGGAATTTGCTGACATACGATCGTCTCACTCTCTAGGCCGGAAGGTTTCTGGGTTGGAATGGACCCTTGCCCAATGTCGTTGGCAACATCGGCAGGTACACGCACGAGGTCCAAGGTGAGCACCAGCGCTTCTCAGCTATGCATGCCACGTCTGCAACATCGCTCATGCTATGGGCCCTGTGGACAGCTTGGAAAGCACCCAAGGGCAAGCACCTCGACGACTCGTACGCCATCGGACAGGCATGGACCAAAGCTTGCGCTGCTGCCGCCAAAGCCCACAACGGATTCATCCTCAGCATGCCAGACATCAAGTTCCCACTCAACACGCCGGACAAGGGTAATTACGACAGAATGCTGCTTCTGTGCGAGGTCACCAACGAGGAATATGGTCTCGATCCCAAGTGAGAGGCTGCTTTCCAATCAACACAATGCCGAATCCGCAAAATCTGATCGCATCTCTCGTTTGATGACCTCCCGCAGACAAGTGATCGATGCTACTAAGGAGGTGAGCGCTTTCCTGTCTTCGGCACAAAGATCAACGCACGTGAACGAACCTCATGATCGCTCTGCGCTCCTGCTCTTGTCATTAGGCAGCCCTCAAAGCTGGCTTCGTCAAGGTGGACTAGAGCAGACAAATTGTCTCTAGAGGGTCACGCACGGCGTCGCTCGACCCGACAAAGCGCGGCGGGTTTTCCGCGTCACTTACTCCCGATGATCCTAGACGCTGCGGCCAAGACTCTGATTTTGGCCACCCTATCGACATCCTCCGAAATTGCTTCTCGCTCAATCATGAGATCCCACTCACCACTAGCCCTATCACTTCGCGTCCTCTGACTCCTTGAACAAGCTGCGCCTTCCTGGCGAATGACACTCCGCCGACATTTCGCGATGTGAAAGATCAGCGACTCGAGACGTGCGATACGGGGCTTTGCCTCCAGTCCAGTGAGCATGAGAGTGAAGGACAAGAGTGATGCATTGACCGCGGGTTGCCGAATTTGCTGCAGCTCAGCCAGCGTGACACGTCGACAAGATCAATAGCAGTGTTCGAAAGATGGATCAGGCGGAGGTGAGATCTGCAGGAAAACCCGAAAAGTCGACCTGATCTTGAACTTGCTGTCCAGCTTTCGAGAAACCTACTCTGAGTCTCAATCGGACCTGTGCCTAGGTAGACAGAAGGAGTTGGGGTAGAAGCGGCGTCAGCGAAGCTCGAGCTGCGAGACACTCTGAGCTGCGCAACTTACCCCCACTGGTGTCATTACTCGAAGCTGCTGTGTTTCCACCCTGCCAGGCGCTATAGTGCTGTTGCTGATCGCGAGCATCTGCAGCTTTTGTGACTGTGAGGAGAGGAAGCAGCTAGTTCAGTCAGTCACAACGCTCCATGCTTTGACCCTAAACCGCATCGTGCTCACCTTCGGAACGGCCGCCTGGAAGTTGACGCCTTCTACCTCACCGCTCAAAGCTTCGAATCTAGCTGTGATGTTGACGATATCCTTTCTAGCGGCGTTGACCGCCGGGGTGAGGGTGATTCTCAATCCATTCTGATCGTAAGCTGTGTAGGCTTTCGTCGCAGATGGTGCAGGCGCGGACATAGCGGGAGGGGGAGAGGCAGCCGCTGGCCTTGATTGCTGCACGGGCTGAGTAGAGGGAGACGGGCCAGATAGTCCACTTCCGCCTGAAGCGCCGAATATGTCCAGTCCTGCCAAGCCGTCATTTGCCGCGGCACCAGGTGGAGGACTCGACGCCCCACCCAATCCACCGAAACCGTTCGAAGAGGGCGCCGGGCGTGAAGGGGCAGCTGGTGAGTCTCCGAACAGACCCATGATGTCGTTGACGGAGCTCTTGGAGCTAGCTTGTTGCGCAGGTGAAGCAGCTGCTGTAGTCGCTGCAGCTCCGTCGTCCGTTCCCAACCCTCCGAAGATGTCCGCCAGTAAATCTTGCGCGCTCTGTTGAGGTGCGGCAGTGGTCTGATGTGCAGCAGATGTCGGTGCTCCAGCAGGCATCTCGTCGCCCATAAGATCCAGCAATGCATCCTTGTCCGTCCTTGTGCTTCCAACTGCCCGTTTTTCGCTGACCGTGCCTACCACCGTAGCGCGTATCTCGGGAGGTGGCATCGGTTCCAGCACGCCACCCCTGATGTCCTGCCTTCGCAAGAGAGCGTTAAATTCCACCGCACGCTGTTGTATCTCCACCTCTACGCTAGTGTTGTGATTAGCTAGGATGCCCTCCACGCGAGCCTGCTGCTGTGCATCTGAAACCCTCGTGGTGAGTTTGGCCAAAGAGGTCAGCACCCACTGCCGAATATGCGAATTTGCGTACGGCGAGTCGAGCACAGACGTGATCAGATCGAGGACATCTTTTGCTTTGAGCTGCAATCGCCGGCATCGGAGGTGCGCTATCGGTGAGCAAGGGCGCCAGGTGACGGTTTGGCTCTAAAAGTGAAATGAACTCACCTCTCTGGGCGCCTCCTCCTCGTCAAATGTGCCTCCCTGCAATAGGCTCTCTCCAAACTCCCCAATGACCCAGACCGCAGCCAAGGTGAGACTCTCCTGAGAGAAGTCCGCGTGTAGCGCCGTGAACAGTTTCTGAGCTGTGTATCCGTGCAACTCGGGGGTATGGCAGACGAGGCGAATGAAAGAAGAGAGGACCTCTTCGCGAACGTAATTGCCTGCAAGTTTGAGGACGCGCAGGACTGTGTCGATGTGCCAACGGCGATTGGGCGCAAATCTCTCGGCAGCAAGGCAAATTTGAGTGGTCAAGCCAAGCTTGAATTCGTTGTCCGCTACTTCCAAAAATGCCAAGAGCTCCCGTGTCAGTACGCGCACGTTAGCTTCGTTGATGAGTGCGTAAGATAGCTCAAGCGCCCGCCGCCTGATGGAGATGTCACCATCGCGCAAGCAGTCTAGGATGATGTTGCGATGCCTCTGAACTGCGTTTGTATCCATCGACACGACCTTGTTCAAAGTGTTGAGCGCCACATATCTATGTAGACAAAGAGATTGCTCAGACGCCAAGCCGTGCAGCAGTGAAGGGCGCGCATACACGCACCTGATGTTGTTGTCCCGATTGCTCAAGAACTTTCCAAGAATGTTGATTGCCATGACCCTTAGACCATTCTCCGCTTCAATTTCCAGCACAGTCAAGACAGTCTCGTAAAGGATGGAGTTGCCGACATTCTTGGACGCTTCGGTGTTGGTAGCTACTTGGGCAAGGACGTCGTTCATTGCTTCGCTGGCGGCGGCGTCCCCCTTGCCGAGCAGACGAAGAAGACGTAAGATTTTGCATTGCAGGAATGGATCGGTGATGCCGCTGACGTCGTGCTCGGGTGAGTAGCCGGTGGTCACCAAGGCTTTGAGATGCCTGACCAGTAGCGGCACAGTCTGCGCTCAAAGAATCAGACGCGAGGGTGAATGTATGCGCAATGTTGTGGAGATGCCAAGACGATGCACTCACCGAACGGAACTCTGCCAGAGCCTCTTCGTTCTGCGTACAGATTTCGATGGCCAGGGTAACCCCGCATAGCAAAACACCGTGATTCTTATCGGACAAAAATTGTCTGGCTCTCCCGGTAAAGTTTTCCAGCAGGTCGGGCACCTTGCGCACAATCCTCATCGCGCAGAGAGCAGCTTTCCGGCGGATGTAGGTGTTGGTGCTGCCCATCAGCCTGTTGACTTCATCTGAGAGATCTCGAGACATTTCCTCCGATGCGATGTTGGCGAAAGTGCAAAGAGCTAGACCGACCACATACATGTTGGTGTGCTCCATGTCGCTGTAAGAATTGCCAGGCGCAAGACATGGGGTCAGCACACATGGGGCGATTGCGTCATCGAAGGCCCCGTTTAACAAAGGCACGAGCTTATGCCACTCACTTCTTTAGGCCGTTCGTGACAAGCGTGAGCACCTCGGTGTTCTCGTCGAGCAGCAGCATGATGCCCAAGTATCCCAAACGCTTATCGGTGAACCTGGGCGTAGCTACCAACTTGAGACACTCTATCTGACCAAAGTGAGCTGGATAGCCCAGCATGTGGATATAGAGCAGTTTAGCAATGTTGTTGTGAAGAGCAAACGGATCGGCTTGCTTGAAAGAGGACCGGATCTGAGCTGACTCCTTTTGGATCAACGCTCGCTCGTCGGCTTGAGTCTTGCAGGCTCGTATGGCCTGCGAGCAGTCGGCACGCATCGTGAGTTGCTTGGGCGAAGCAAAGGCGGCGGAGACAGAATTCAGAGTGTCTCACTCACCTTTATCAGTGCTTTGAGATTGTAAAGCCCAGCAGAGGCCATGAGGCCGCCGAGGCGAGGATCCAGGGCGGCGACCTGCTGTTGCTTGGCGAAGAAGGACGACATGCTGCACACGTCGAGGTGTGAGGGTGAGACTGGCTAAGTTGGACTGACACGGGACACTTCAGCTGACCATCCAGTGATCTGCTGACGAGTGATTGGATACGGCTGTCCTCCAGCGATGTTGGCCCTCTGTTCAACGTCAGAGTCGCCCGCTAACACCTGAAGCTTGTTCGAATGTGGGGCTAGGGTGGGTCTGGATGGGATGCACCGCTCGCTGAGCACGATCAGTGCCGTGCACAAATTGACGCTCACAGGCTCACACTTGCGACTTGCTGTGGTGAGCGACAGGCAGATGGGGGTGTATCGAGTGTGTCGAGTAGGTCAGCATGATCGATCGAGAAGCTCTCGGATGCTGCGTGGCGCGGCAATCGTGAATGCCCCGTGCGTACACCACTTTCGCGGGATGTGACGAGGATGCATGTTTGATGGCTCGCGTTGCTGTCGATTTGTTGGCCACGTGATTTTCACGTGACCAAGAAATGTCCCAAGCAGCGAAGCGCGTGCGCCGATTGCCTGGCAGATCCTCGGAAACGCGAGGTTCCGACGTGCCGAGAGACGATTTTGAATCGTGAATCAGAACATACCAATTTGAATTTGAATTTCACTCGGACTCGACTGCTTCGATCAGCGCGTGACCGACACACTCACAGACAGTAGTAGTAGTGACTCGTGAGTGCTGCATTCGAACACTGCTGCATAGATCCGATATGATGAGATGCACGGGCAAGGAGCGAATCTTGATGCTGCCGAAGGACATGAGCATCTCTCTCTCTCTCTTCTGGTCCGGCTGTAGCTACGTAGCAGCCTTCTGGTTGACGTTCGTCTCTCGGCCTGCAGCGTACGGCTCGACTAGCTGCCGGTGCGCTCCCATCCCGTCCTGCAACGCTCACCTCATCTAGCTGCTGCTGCTGCAGAGCCGAGCGAGGCGGCATTCACTTCATCATCGACCTCCCGCGAATCTTCGAGCGCAGTCAAGGACGCAAATAGCAAGTTTGGGCCTGCTTGCACGCTGCCGCTAGCGCAACGCCAAAGATCGGAGTTCTGGATTCTACGCTTGCAGCGTGCCGCGAGCGCGCATATCACTCAGATCCGTGTGGCTTACCCATATCCGCGCACGCAGCAGCAGCAGCAGCTAGATGTCGAGCTGACACGAGACCACACGTACCGCACCGCACCGCACCGCACCGCACCACACCGCACCAGCAGCAGTAGGCCCGCCCCGCCCTGGCCCGTCCATCAAGCTCCGCGTCGGTTGAGCACGTTGGGACCTAGAAATTGATTTCGTCACATATACCGGGCGCTCAGCAGACAAATTGTCTCCTCATCACCTCAGACCCAATCTTCAAGCGATTCGGATGCTCCACTTGTCACCTCAGTCGCAGGGAACAACCACGTGCCCGCTCCTCTCTGCTCTTCTCCTCACCCCACAGCACCTCGACCTGCGTGATACGCTTCGAGGGACTAAGCGGGCGCCACAGGCCGTCGCTTCCTAGACGCGCTTCGCTCCCTTGCAAGTTCGCCGCCCAGCATCACGAGGGGTCGCAAGCGATCAAGCTTGGAGCAGTGGTGACGCCGGCGCAAAACGCTCGTTCACCAGCTTTAGTCTGACCATCGCGGATCACTACGCCATTAGAGGAGCAAGACTGGGATTATTCTTCACTGCAATCGCCACCACCCGCATCCGCTCAAGCAAAGCTTTCACCACCTCTCTGAAGCGTCAGAGATGAGCATACCGAGCAGCGCAAGCAGCTCGAGGCGGCAGATGGCCAATCAGTCCACCAGGAGGCGGCGAACGCTCTTTTCACCATCTCTAGCAGCTTCCCTCGCCATACTCCTCGTCGCCTCCTGTTCCCGTTCCCTTGTTGCTGCTCGCAAGCAGTCTACCTCTTCCGACAGTTCCGGTCCAAGCGATTCAGATCCCGGCATCTATCCGGGCGGCAAAGATGGCTTCACCGATGGCTGGTCCGTACTCCCCAACGTCACTGGCGCAAGGTTGGACATGGCCGGTCTCAGAGTAGGCGACGATGCTGCTGCTCAATCTGCTGATTCATCGGATGGCGCAATCACAACTACTACCACTCCCATGCTTCCCTATTACATCACGGACAAGTATGACTCCAACACTATCAAGAGGGCTGTCATCCAGATTCATGGTGATAACAGAGATGCTTGGAATCAGTGGTTGGTCAGTAGATGCATGCATACATGCTGAGGCTAGCACGAAACCGTCATGCCAAGCATACTGGCTTTGCTCACAACCCTTCAGAACCGTTCTGCGCTCCTTGACCGCCACAGTACGCCGACTTGGCTCTCGACCGCGCAGTGCAGGGAGGAACTGTTAAAAGGGAGGAAGTGGCGATCATGGCTCCGTGAGTACGCGTGTCCGTCAACCGGCTGTCGTAGACGCGACGACTCTCGGCGGCTCAAGCAAGGTCCAAGCTTCCGCTTGCGCTCACAAAGCGCCAACTCCTGCTCGTGCTCACCCAGGCAATTTTTGACGACCATCGATTACTTGGCGTACGGGGCAATTTCAGAGGCAGTGGCGCCCGCTTCGTCATTGATGGTATGGAACGCCACGGCGGACGACTGGGGTGACGGTTTCCCACCCATCTTTCCCGCTCGCTCCACGGTGGGAGCCTTTGATGCGCTAGACTCCGCCTTGGACTTCTTTCTGGACAGACAAACCTTTCCCAACCTGGTCACCGTCGTCTTGGCTGGTTTCTCGATGGGCGGTCAGTTGGTGCAGAGGTATGCCATGTTTCGCAACGAGGCGGACCAGGAGGACGAGGAGAGGATACACTATTGGATCGGGGCACCTGCCAGCTTTGTGTACCTCAACGATTCCAGACCAGAGACCGTTAGGAGATGCAAAGATTTCAATGAGTACAAAGTAAGTGCTTAGGGTGTTCGAGACGTGTGGGAGAAATGCTGACTCTGACCTTTTGCATGCGCCACGCAGTACGGTTTGGAAGGCACGCTGCCGCCCTACCTGGACGGTCGACCGAAAGCAGAAGACTTGGGACCGCGCTACGTCTCGCGCCGTACGAACTACCTGGTCGGCACTCGGGACAAGATAGATGGAGACCCCCGGTGTGAAGCAGACGCGCAAGGCCGGACGCACCTGAACAAGACGCGCTTTTGGGTTGAGGATGTGGTCCCATATCTGCCCGGTGCGCCAGGCAACGGACAATTGCCCGTCAATTCGACCATCGACTACGTGTCCAAGGTGTCGCATCAAGATTGGAGAGTCATAGCTTCGGATGCTGGTGTGCAGAGACTCTTCTTGGACGATTACTCGGCTATCGCCCCTGCGGCAGGCGACCAGTCCACTTCTGCTAGAGCTCCTCCATCGAACGGAGACGGAAACGTCAGCCCGACAGATATCGATAACGGCAAGGCAGACGATGATGGAGATGGGAAGAAGAATAACGGCGCCGGTCGGTCTGCACGAAATTCTTCGCTTCGCTTGATGCTCTCGATCGCTTCAACGTCTGCTCTGCTTTGTGTCGCCACGCAAATGGTCTTGTAAAGCCGCAAATTGCCTGCTAATGCACCTTCGTATGCAGCACGGATCGTTTCGTGATAATACATCCATCAATCGTGAATCGAATCGGGACACGAACTGATCATCCGTGCGTGTGATGAGCTGCCTTCGTGAAGCTACATGCCGTCGCATGACATCCAAAGATTACCCGAGCTTGACATGTATGTCGACTTTGAGGCCAATGCTCGCTGAGATCCTCGTCAGTGAAAGTGTAATCGACCTCAAGGAGATATTCAGGAGGAGAAGTATTATTATTATTGCTGTAGTGCGGTGACCCGGTCCTTTGCTCAGTGGGATGCACAAATTCATCGCGCGCACACCTCGAAATGCGACCGCGATGCGCTGGTATCAAAATCAGCGCGGGCTTCCGAGCGGGCCGTGCAGCATGTGGGATGCGCGCGAATTAGAGCGCATGCTTGACATGGACCAGCGTTGCATGGACAAGCTTTCTTCGACCTAGTCGCAGGGTTAACTTACGATCCAACCTCCATCATCGCAAGCGAAGCCAAGCCTCTCCCTTACATTCTCTAATCCACGCCTGATTGGTCTTGAGCTTATGCGCACATAGCAGTGGACGAGTCTCGGGTGCATATGGTCGAGCCTCTCCGCGCCCCTCAATCCACGAACCAAGCACCCTGCCCAGGCAAAGGACGGAGGTCTGCCTCGTGTCGCCATTTGAAGTCCTTTGAGGGCGCCTCGAGAAGCCAGACTAGTCGTATAGCCCATTTGAGGCGGTGAATCATACTTGCCCACAGGGTTAACGGTGCACACGTGGCCCAGCATGACCACTCACGAGTCGGACGTCTTGTCCATCCTGGATCAGTATCCAAAGGTCAGCGAGCAGCAGCGGCAGGAAAAGCAAGGCGTACACTACACTGACAAAATAGCTTTCCAATTCCTTTCCCGCCCCTCAGATCCGACAATTTGATGCATTTCCCAAGGTGAGACGTTGACCGCCTCGAGAATAGCTGCCGCTCGGCAGGAGCTCTTTCCTAACAAACATACATGCTCTCAATCCCAACCTCACCTTGGAACAGACAGCACCAGTGCACCGATTACGATCCTCCAGAGGTGGAAGCGTGACGCTTGGTGTCGCACTGATCCTGCTCATGCTGGTGTGGGGGGAGCTGAAATCTTACATTTATGGTCAACCTCACTATGCTTTTGATGTGGAGCATCACATCGGCGGAGAGATGCAGATCAATGTAGACATGACTGTTGCTATGAAGTGTCATTGTGAGTACAACAGGATCGAGAGATCGTCAGGGAGCAGAAAAGAAAGCTAGGCTGGCTGTGTGCTCTGCTTTATACTGCATCGACCCCGGCTGACTCATCGGCCCGGCCTATGATGCTTTCATTCGCACTCCCTGCCACCACCAGATTTGACTGTGGATGTCAGGGATGCAGTGGGGGATCGGTTGCACATTTCGGACTCGGAGTTCAAAAAGGACGGCACTACTTTCGACATCGGCCACGCCGGAAAGATGAGGTGAGAGCCGTGCTGTCTGGAAGTCAGCACCGTGGACGATGCCCTAGACAGCGCTGCTCACCGTCGCAAAATGGCTCTACTCGTTCCACCGACAGTTCTTTACCCACTGAGGAACTGTCGCTTGGCCGAACAATCTCAAAGGGCGCGAAGCCTCGGTACAGCAGGCAACACACTTTCAAGCCCACCGCACATGTGGTACCCGACGGACCCGCTTGCAGAATTTACGGCAGCGTCGAGGTGAAGAAGGTCACTGGAAACCTGCACATTACGACGCTCGGACATGGATACTGGAGCTGGGAACATACCGATCACGAGCGTGAGTGTGTTGTTAGAAGTCCGTGGTGGCAGTGCTAATTCTCACCCTACCGTTGTGATGTCTAGTCATGAACCTCACTCACGTGGTCCACGAATTCAGCTTCGGGCCATACTTTCCCGCCATTGCGCAACCGCTGGACGGGAGCGTCGAGGTGACCAAGCAGCGTGAGTGGTCGCCTTGATGGAAGCAATTCGCCTCTTTGTGATCAAAACAGGCACTGACATTTGACAACCCGCCTTCACAGACTTTACCGTATTTCAGTACTTCATTCAGATCGTGCCGACTCGCTATATCGATCGATGGGGCCGAAGCCTCTCGACAAATCAGTACAGCGTGACTGAGCAAACCAGGCAACTGGACCATGGACAGGGCGTACCAGGTCTCTTTTTCAAGTTCGACGTCGAGCCGCTCACCATGATCATACACGAGCGGGCGACGAGCCTGATCACATATCTGGTCCGTCTAGCAGGCATACTTGGAGGCGTCTGGGTGTGTGCAGGATTCGGACTACGACTGGGCGAGAGGGTGGTCAAAGTCTCGTATGAGGCGTTGGGAGGAAAGAAGGACGAGGATCCGTCGGACTACGCTAGGGCGTACGCCAGCTCCTACAGCACCAATCCGTCTGCAGGACACTATGGCGCTCTAAACTCCACGCATTCGTCGGGAACACATCATCGTCCTAATGCGGGCCCGACGCCCTATGGTGGCGGGCAAAGAAGCGCCAGCGGGGGCTGGATCGGAGATGCGGTAGACGGTGCGAAGGGTGCTTGGCAAGGCATGAATCTGTCGATACCAGGTTCGGGTCACAAGCATACAGAAAGCGTCCAGCAGCGCATTTACTCGGGTGAGTAGACAGGGTGGTCATAAGGTCGCGCTCGAAAGGTGGCCGAGGGTGAGCGAGGCTGCGCTGGCTGACCGCTTGCTCTTGCTTTCGTCGGTGATCTTTCGCAGAGGAAGGCCGTGCCCCTTGGTAAAGTAACGGCCATCGTTTCCATCTCATCCACTGGCCATCAAGGCCGATCAACCCGTTTCTCGATTGTGCGCACAGTGCTCGACCAGAAATGAATGTCACGAATTTCTCGACGCTTTTCGACGCTTTTTGTGGATCTTGCATGAATACTCACCAGTCACCGCCCGCTAAGTTGGTCAACTTTGTGCGTGCGTACTGCAATCCAATCTATAGGAGTGGTCAGATCACCGGGTCCGACGTCCAAAGCGTGCTGCATTGCGACGCGAGGGGGGTTGCTCAGCATAGAAGGGAATGATTGGAACAATGTGCTGGCATGAGCGATGCTCTCATTACAAAGACAGGGTCAACAGGTAGAATCAAGTGCAAGTGGTCATATGCCATATGCAAAGGTGAGAGCGCACTCTGAACTGCGCCATGCGTCAAAGACGGGCTTAGGCAAGTGTCAAGGCACCGGCGATGACGGCAGCGCACAGGGATGCGACAGTCATGCTCGCGGTCGCGCCAGAGAGGGCTCCGTCCGGACTTGAGCCGCTGCCACCACCGCTGCCACCACCCGCGCCAGTGTTGCCGCCAGAGCTTCCACCACCGGCGTTGTTGTTGCCCTCCTCTTCGGCATCATCAGCTGCATCGTCGGCTGATGGACGCGGGCACGGGGAATGTGTAAGTAGACACGAAAGCGGACACAGATGAACAGCACAGCCTACTCACCAGCGGTCTGGTTGGTATTGGTGTTGAAGAGAACACCGTCAATTACGTGGGCCACACCGTTGGCGAAGAGAAGGTCGGACCTGACGATTCTGGCGCGTGCGCCCTCAGTCTCTACGAAGACGTTGTCGTCCTCTTCGACGAATCTGAGCTCCTGTCCGGAAGCAGATGTGGCTCTGCTGTACTGACGCAAGCCATCCTCCACAGTGTTGTCCCCAGCATCCTCGTCAATTTGGGGAGAGTAGATGGTGGTGCCTGCATTTGCGATCAGGGTGATGAAGGTGGTACGTCAGCGGTCGTGTCGCATTGCAACATGCGGCAGGCCTTTTTCATTGCGTCTCACCATTGATGACGTGGTTCCTCAGCACGGCGAGTTGCGCCTCCTGGGGCGCGGAGGAGATGTTCGCCTGAACAGCCTGGAAAGCGGCGTTGTTAGGGACTGCGCAGGGCGACGTACACAGATCAGCTTGGTTCTGCACCCGAGTGCTCGATCAACAACCTACGCACCAAAGATCGTGATGCCACGTGTGTTGGAGAGTGCAGTGACCAAGTCGGCACCGTTGAAAGCTTCGACGGCAGCGGAGGCGCCTTCGACTTCGCCAAGCACCGAGCTAAGGGTTCCCGGAGGAGTCAAAACAGTCTCGATGGGTTGAACGCGAATGCTTCCGACAACGGGACCGTCGGTACCGTTTGCGAATGTGACGTTGGCGGTGTTGCCCTTGACGAAGGAGCGCTCATTGTCGTCATCACCTTGTGAGTCCAAAATGACGACCTGGCTCGCATTGCCTGGAAGCTCAACGCCAGAAGTCAACAAGGTGCGGGCAAGCAAGGGTCCGTCGTCGATCCTGTCGTTGGTGTAAGAACCGTTGAGAACGTGGTAGGACAGCAAGTTGACCAAAGCATCGCCTTCGGGCAGATCGCCGGCGCTCTCGAGCGCTTGGTTGGTGGGCGCAAGCACAGTCTTGTTGCCGGGGCTCTGCAGCGCCACGACCACTGCAGGGTTCGCAGCTACTGCATCGGCAAGCGATGTCAAGCCATTGCTGCGGAGCGCAGACAGAACTTGTTCGCTAAAATCTGGGCGGAGGCAGCAGACGACGATTGTCCACCAGGTCAGCACGCATTTCGACTCGACTTTCTACCACCTGACATTCCAACATGACACTCCCGGAGGCCATCGATTTGCCTCGCCTTTGACACTGCATGCCTTTGACCTTGCAGGACTCACCACCACCGACGGCTTGAGCAGCCACGCTCGAAGCTGTTGCCAGAGCAATTGAAAGAGCAGCGAGGAACTTCATGTTGATGCTTTGAGTCGATTGAAGAAATACACCGATCGAAGAAGGCCTGGAATGGATGGGATCAGATCAAAAGGATGAGGAACAGCGCTCACTGCTTGGACTATATACTGTTTTGCTTGACCCAACAGCGCAACCTGACTAGGGGCTACGTCCGTCATAACAATCACGCAAGTGGCGCTGTTGCGCACGCACACACGAGAAGTGTACCGCTTGGCGCTCGCAGGGATGCGACACTGGCTCCTTCGTTCCGCAGTTCGCCTGAATGAAGATGACGACCACGCAGTTTCCTGGCAACGGGAAGAGTAGGATCGATTGATCTTAGGGGCGCCCACCGCAAGTCATGTGCGCGAGAGCGACTCATGTCAGCAGTGCAGACCGTCAAATGCAGCCAAGCCAAGACCATGCCGTTTCAGTCAGCCACGCCGACTCCCTCGTCCGGTTCTCGAGGCTGTGAAATGCGGTCATGATGCTTTGGGTGGAAATTTCGCACGGGCCCTGACCGTAAGGCGCTGGGATGACCTGACCGGAAGCGGGGGTCAATGCCCTGCTTGCGACTTGCTCTCGGTGGACCTAGTCACGGGCAATGGCATACAGTTTCGCGCTGCCAGATGGGAGTACAGCCCCGCCTCTCTTCTTCCTTCTCCTCGCCCGACGCGAGGCGCGAGGCCTTCCATCGAGTCATGCATTTGCCTCCTGGATGCGCAACTTCACCCGATGCCGATGACCAGCACACGCATCGATCTCTGGGCGACAGGTGGAGAGGGCTTCATCCGGGTCGGAGTAGAGTGCCATCACTTCGCGAAGCAAAGCCAGTGTTGGCCGGGCCACGCCGAGCTGCCATAATAGTCAAGTAGAATCCTCCCTAAAGTGCCCATTGCCATGCAGCAAAAGCTTGGGACCCTCGTGCGGTCCAAACGCCAGGCACATGCGCTCTCCTTCTCGGAGGGTTCTTTTTAGCGCTTTCAAGGTGTGACAGCCTCCTCACAACTTCAGGCCCAGCCACATCATCGGATAACGCTGCAACGGTGGTGGAAGCTTGGTGCAGCGCAACTGGGTTGCTTGGGCGCACCGCCACCCTAGGGAAGGTTCCGATCACGAAGCGAATGTGGAGAAAGGTGCAATCACACTAGCGTCTTTGCTGGCAGCTCTTGCTGCTGCTGCTGCCTCGGTTGTTCAACTGCGCATTCGCGTGTGGCGCAGGCAGGCTTGCTTACTCAAGCTTGGCTCGCGCAGAAAAAAGGCTTGGCATTGGGCGCGTGCGTGCCTCGAGTTGAGATCCTGCACCCTTTGCACCACCACCAGCAGTGAATCCTCAAGAGCTCTGGCGCAACTTTAGCCTGAAACACTGCGAATCTTCGCTCGATCGCTTTGTGCATCGAGAAGCGGTCGATGTTCTCGGGGTCAATGCCGTGTCCTTAGCTGCTCGACCGTAGCGATGAACCCAGAGGCCCCCCCCCTCCCCCCCCTCTCTCTCTCTCCGGTGCACGCAAGTCAAGCAAGTAAGCAAGCAAGCTAGCTTCTATCTTACTTAAACTCCCGATCTGCAGCAGAGCGCGCGCCAGACGCGCGTCGATGCTGCGAGGTTTCTGGGCCGCGGGACAGTACCCAGCAACATCACACCCTCACGGAAGAAAGCGAAAGCGACGTCCTTACCAGCACTGCACTCACAAGAGGAATATGGCTGTGCAGGTACCTTTCAAGCTCAAGCGCAAAGCTCAGCTACGCGTGGCCGCGGCCAATTATGCCAGCAGTCAGGTCTAACGCGTGCGTTTGTTTCAAAAACCAAAAATTCTTGGCCTTGTTGCATGCGTGGAGGCCCTGCATGGCTGCTGACGACGACGACGCGTACGTGTGGGGTCCGTTTTGCCGGCGCGCGCCAGGGCTTGGCATGCAAGGCCGTGCGTGCGTAGTGGGTGATCACTGCCCCCCCCCCCCC